CTCCTCCTGTCCCACTATCATGCTCAGTCCCCACCAGGATTTCAGCACTTCCTCTTTGTTACGTTCCCCTTGATCATGCCCTACCAGGTCTCCCACCCCCACCTCCCCACCAATTTGAATCGCTTGTTGTTCCCTTGTCCCTGGGTTTGTTAACAATGGATGTTTGTATGGATTGTGATAAGAATTTTACGAGCCTCCAATAAAATGATTTAAAAAAAAGAAAAGAAAATATATCAAGAGAAACTTCCCACACTAAAATGCAAAGAGTAAATAGAGTGAAAATTAAGAATATCTTAGAACTATGACTTCATTACAAAAGGTGAAACACATGCATGTTCTAGAACTGATGTTGTGATGTATTTTCAACATTTTTTGATATGACTGAACAATGGAAGTGTATGATACATGAAGTATATCTCAATAAAACTTAAAAATTTTTAAGTATAATTAAGAATCTTTATACTTTTAACATTGAAAAGTTATAGTGTAAACTGAGAACCCTGTATCTTAAGCTAATAAAATTATAGTACTACCTCTTACATTCTTAGAATGAAAAACAAATGTGTAGATCATGTAATATCTCATTAATAAATTCTGTAAATTTTTGTCTTAACAAAATTGATGAAGAATAAGTACAAAAACAATTTAAAATAACTACTGTCTTGGTAAACCTGTTTGGCTTTGCCTCTTTGTTTAATTATTTTTTTAATATTGTGAATTGGGGTGGGGGGAGGTTACGTTTTAAGACTGTCAGCTCTGCATTCAGCAGTTCAGCTACTCACTAATTCCCATATTCTTCACAGCTGTGTCCTCCCGCAACCTGTTATTATTTCTCTTCTCCCTCTTGTGGACTTCTGTTTTCCTTCCTTCATCTTTCCACCTCTGCCCTCCCTCCCTCAGGAACCTCCGAAGTCTTGTTCCTCTGATATTTTGCCTATTTATTTTTAATAGTGAACCTAGTTTCAATTCATGAATACCCCCTCCTCATTGAATAGAATCAATAATAAAATAAAAGTGACTAAGTATACATTCAGACTGCTGTAAATCTAATTTGGGGGTGCTTCAAAATTTCATTATCTTTTCATTACTATTTCCGCATGAAATTTTTGAAGCTTCCTCATGTACTTCTAAAGAAGAACCAGGGAAAAGAATCATGGAACCCATGATAAAGACAGCATTTGGGGGAAGTTTTGAAAGGAATTAATCACAAATTGAATAAATTGAAGAAAAGCATAAATAATATCTCTAGAAATCCCTTTTATTTACTGATTTTTTTTTTGAAAGAAGAAATTCAAGTAGTATTTCATCCTTGTCTTACAGGAAAAGTTTTCATAGTCTTGACCAGTTATCAGCTGAAGTTAGTCTTTCTCAGACCTCACTGGATCCAAGCCAGTCACAAGAAGGAGATGGAAAACCAGACACATTAAATTTAATTAGCGAAGGTAAGCAAAAGACCTACTTGAGGTTTGCGGGTTAATACATCTGGTCCATGTGTGGTTGGGTCGCAGAGTATGGCTGCATAGGGACATGGCTGCACAACCTGCCGGCAACGAAGCTGCCGTCATCATGAATTAAAGGTATTTCTCGTTTCTTTGTCATGAATTTATGGTTAACCATTTTTGAAAAAGTTGTCTAAATTTTTTTGCTTTCTGTAACGTGTTTTATTTTACTAACCCCAAATTGATGTTTGTGTGTATATCATTTTATTAGAGTAACTTTATCAAGGCATCAAGCTTTGCCGTATTGATAAAGTCAGTACTCTGCATCATCTTAAATTTCTCAGCTGATTTTGATAAGATTGACCACTTCTCATTCTTAACATTTGGTTCCTTATTTATTGGGTATTCTAAGAAACATGTAGAATAAAACAGAATTGTTTTGCACCCACCTTCCTCCAATATTGCTGCTTCCAGCCATGCTCTAGCGACCCCCCACCCTTTCGATGGCATCTTCCTGACTTACTTTTCAGGGTGCTTTCAAGTACGTGTTCCCATTTCCACTTCTCAGACCATATTCCCACAGCAGTGAGCAATCATTTGCAAACATAACCCCCAAATATTATGTCCCTGCTTAAAACTCTCCAGTCACTTTCAATGGCAAGCAGAAGAAAATCCAAACTGCTTTAATGGCTCCCAAGGTACTACATGTTAGCTTCTGCCACGTTTTCTTACCTTGTTTTCTATAGCCCAGCAGAGTGACCTCCCAAGTACCCTCTAAACACCCTAACTATCTGCATTTTCTCTTCCTATTGCCTGAAATTTCTTATTATCTTGGCATGTTAGGGCTTTTATATCTCTCTTTAAAGAAGATTTCATTACCATTAGCCACTCCATTTCCACCTACACTGCATCTGTAATATTACAACATGCTATATATTATGAGTCTTATTTATACTCCCCTCTGAAACGTAATTTTCATATGATGTTATCAAAACTAAAGATTAAATTCTTTCTTGGGCCCCAAGAAAGAAAAAAAGTTCTATGAAAACAATATGGAGTATTGGAGCAAGTTAGAAAATGGCTGGATTGTAAATCAAATATACTTATATCTAAATCAAATATACCTATATGTAAATGTGTGACCAAAGAAGAGAAAACACTAGAACAGAACTAATATTGAAGCTGTACACCATGCTGGAACTGTTGGGTAAGCTTTGAACTGTTAACTTCAAAGTCAGCAGTTCAAATTCACCAACAGGTCTGCAGAAGAAAGATGAGGTTATCCACTCCCATAGGAAACTCTGTATAGGGTTGCTATAAGTCAGGATAGAGCCAATGGCAGTAAGTTTGTTTGTGTGTGTATGTGTATGTCTGAGAATATATACATACATATATGTTTGTATATTTGTACACATGTATACATATGTTATAGAAATATACACATACATGTTGATACATACCCATACTACCAGTTCATTCCATTGAACTTTATACATACTCACACAGTGGTGGGATTAAAATAAGTTAATAGCCAGTTTGCTGCCCAAATGACCATTTTAATGATAAAAAATGATATACCTAAAAGTGGTTTATTATTTCATACTTAATGCTTAAATAACAACAATAAAGAGGTACACAAAACTAGATTGTTATGAGAGTTTTAAAATATTAATGAAAAATATTAATAAATAATACCTGAACAGATAACCATCGAGCTGTTATGTAAGATATTTCCATAGTCCTTCTGGATTGGTGAGGGGTCAGTGACAGTGAGTTTTCAGATTGCCATCTCTTCATTTTTATGAACTAGTTTTAAAGTGTCTTTGCCTCATTTGATTCCACATATGTGCATGCAAATGATTCCATGTTTGTTTTTGAAGCCCTAGAACAACTATGAGAATCTATCACTTAAAAAAATTTTTTTTCTGTATTCCTTCGCCTTTGTCTGCATGGTACAGGGAATTTGGGGGCAGAGGCTTTAAGAAGCTTCTTAAATTTGTTGATGTCAGCATAATTTCAGTCATGTCGTTTCTTGATGTTTCCGCTGGTGCTACTCATGTGTTTTTCAATTGTTTTATCCCTTTCCTTCATAATAGATTAAATTTACATTTTGCTGCTTTGAACAAATTTTATGCTTCCTTGACAGTTTTTTCTCATTGGTTATCACTTTGCAGCATGAAACCTTTCAGAGATAAAATTCTGTCTCATTCATGTCCATAGCTGTGAAGGAATAGCTTTTTTTTTTTTTTAAAGGAAAACAACCAAAAAAATACATTCCAATAAAAATTAGGTGATTCATAAATGTCTCAAAAATGTGAATATCTCGATAATAAAAATGTGTGAACATCATTATGTGATTAAGTTGTTTCCTCAGTAAAATACTTGGAGACAAACACACGTGCAAAGAATACTTATCCATTTGGGGGGGTGTCAAAAGAAATTTTGAAGAAAATAATTTCTAGGAAATGAAGGGTTATTAGGAAATTGTAATGTATATGAGCATGACTAATAGTTCAAGAAAATTAAAACTAAGAAGGAGAAGAGTAAAACCTCTCAAGACAATGAAAAAAGTGTGATTTGCTAGATTTTAATGAAAATAAAGGAGTTTAATAAATCTCTTACTTTCATCCAAATGTTACGAATGTATGCACTAAAATTGCAGGCATGGGAAAATGAACCTAAACGCAAACATAAAGAGTAAAAGCTGTGTGTGCTCCAAGTGCAGTGGCGATGCACACAGTTTGCACTCACAGCAACAGTGCAAAAGGAAGTAGATAGCTGAGCCTTCATCTCTGATTCTGGTTCTTGGAGCCTTCCAGCCCTCTCATCCTCACTTTCTTGTGTGCCAGTTACAGGGATTCTGTGCCTCACGGGCTCGGGCTTTCAGAGCATATTTATTATGCTGAAGTATTATTCTAGTGCAAAATACTTTAGTTTTCTTTCTCTAACAGGTTCTCGTTTTCACAGGTTATGTTATGTAACAAAATGATAACTTAATCAGAATGGCTGAAAATAAAGTAGTAATCAAAAGTACACTGGAAATGTAGCAAAAGAAAGGAAGTGGGGGTACCAGCCCTGATCTGATATTACACAGAGTAGAATTTAAGCCCCAAAGTAGTAAACATCACAACAAATAATAGATTTTAATACCAAAAGCCACAATTAGGATATGTCAGGATGATGTGCCAAAGAAAATAAAATTTTATAAGATGATGAGGAATAATACAGTCACAATAGGAGATCCAATCACATTATTGGCAAAACAAAATATAGAAGACTCAAGCAACGTAATAAAATAGCTCTTCTGTATATATATGGAAATTTACACACTGATAATAGATAATAAACTTTCTTTTAAAGTGAAATACAGTAACACAATGATAAATTAGCTCATAAAATAAACTGTAAATACATAAAGCACAAATACTGCAATAACATTTTCCAATCATGATACAACTAATGAAAAATCAGAAATTTCTCTAATAACCTTCTTACTATTAAACTTTTTACTTTCAGATAATTCTGGGTTTACATGCAATTGTGAAAAATAAAACAGCTATCACAACCATGAAACTGACATTAACACAGCCCTGTGGTTTCAGAGGGAGCAGAACAGAACCCACTTAAAATGATTGTTTACGTTTATTCTACTAGGGGATACCTGAAAAACTGGTACATGCAAGGCTGTGTTCTAATTCAGAACTCACTCGGGAAGTAAAAGCATCAAATGTTCCTCAAAAACAGTCAAAGGTAAACAGAAACCCTGCAGCTGACTTGAGTGAAAGATTGTAGTTCAGACATACACTAATTAAAAAAGCCAAACCAGTTGCAATGGAGTTGATTGTGATTGGTGATTTCTTATTTGTCAGAAAAGACCCGTGTTCTGGAGGATGTTCAATGGTTGAATTTTTGGAAGCAATGGCTGAGTTTTCGGAAGCCTTTCTTCCAAGGTGCTTCTGACTAGTAGCCACATTCTTAGCTGTTTGCATCATCATGGGACTCAAAAACTTAGGATACATATCCAAAGCTTGGAAAGAGAAGCCAAGGAGAGAATTTCTTTGTGAAATCAGGACATTGAAAATTTCCTTGAGCATAATTAAGGTCTTGGTAAGTCTTTTCTCCCACCCCAGCTATTTTTTTTATTTAGGGTAATTTCAAACCTACATAGAAGTTAAAGAGTAAGATTATGAACAGCTATATTACACAGTTTGCCTAGATTCATCAATTGCTAATAATTTATCATACTTGCTGTATCTTGCACTCCCTCATTTGCATAAGCTTATACCATTTGTCCATATATCCACTTTTTCTTTTTTATTCATCCATTTGAAAGTAAATTTAAAACAACATAATATTTCACCTCTAAATACCTTAGATGTATCTTCTAGAGATACGGGCATTCTCTTACAAAGCCCCACACCATTATCACACTCCAGAAATTAGCATGAGTCCTTTTAGGACTCTGCTTGGTACTTGTGTTTTAGCAACTGGCTGCTTGCTAACCTACAGGTTGGCAATTTCAGTATATCCAGCGACTCTGAAGAAGAAAGGCCTGGCAATTGCTTCTGTAAAGATTACAACTAAAGAACCCTGTGTAGCAGCTCTACTACGTAACACATGAGGTTGCTATGCATTGGAATTGACTCAATGGTAATAGGTTAGGTGTTGGCTTTATAATATTGCTTTTTGGTTGTATAATATTATTTGATGGTTAATAGTAAAATATCTTCACTTGGCCAGTGATATTCCTGAAACTATTTTTTCCTTTTTGATTTTTAATGAAAGCTTTTTGTTGTTGTTTTTATCCAGGATTTAATCGAGTCACACATTACACTTAGTTTACAATCTATTTGATACCCTTTCATCTAGAATAGTACTCCAGTATTTTTTTTTTGTCTTTTACGGCCTTTATGTATTTGGGCAGTCCTGTCCAGTTGTGTGAAATGTTCAGTAATTTGAATTTGCCTGATTGTTTTGGTGAAGTTAAAACATTCTGATTTTTACCACTTTGGTGAAAATACAGAGTAAGGCAGGCTTGGTCACGCTGAGAGCGCCTCATCAGCTCACTGGACTGCCTGGCCAGGGAGAGCCCTTAGAGAGGGCTCCTGCAGCCCCATGCTTTGTGATAAATAAATATTCAGGGTTACTTTGGTGCTTTTCATGCTCCACACCCAAAATTAGTTATTTTTTCAAGTTTTGTCTTCTTATGGTGGAAAATTATTTCAGAAACACAGTATGGGTTCTAGGAGTGTTTATTGTTATTCAGTTGGTCATTGCTTGTAGACCTTTTCAGTGAATAAAGCTAGGATTTTAAAAAAACATGTAATAAATTATTCTGCTATTTTAAAATTCTTATGTAAGACTCAGGACTTTGACTTACATCTTATGGTAGAAATGTTCAAATTCCAACACCCCACCCCCCAACACACACACACAAACCAAACCAAAAGTAGACCCACTACCATTGAGTGGATGCTGACTCACAGCAATCCTATATGGGGTTGTCAGGGATATAGGGTTTGCACCACTACTATTGTGGCTAGCAGTCCAATGCTTTCCTGACAGTGCCACCAGGCTCCCTGGTTGCTAATTAGACAGTTACAATTCCTTTTTTTTTAATCCCAGTATACAGATAGCTTTCAAAATATCATTATTAAAACATAGCCTAAAGTAGCTTAAGATTTCCTTTTCAATTGTCTTTATACCCCTCTAAAAATTTAGTCTTATTTCTGTATGTAAAGTTTACCTTGACCTTACTTCCTTCCACTTTCATAGGTAACTATTTGTATTAATTAAAAAAATTTTTTTAATGTAAAAAATTTATATAAATTTCTATTACCTTTTCAGATAAAAAGTAAGATACTATACACACTATTCTGACTTTATCACTTAACACTCTATCCTGGAAATCACTAGTACACAGAGATACCTTTCCTTGTTTGTTTTAGCTACACAATACTCTATTGTGTAACTGTTAAGTATTTGAATTGCTTATTGTCTTTCATAGTTACTATATGGCAGCCTTTTGTTACTAAAAATAGATGTAATTAGCAGTGAACCCTCTTTTAAAATACTGCGAACCTCTGGAGCATTTAACAAGAAATACAGAGTGCATTTTGGGCCTTGAAGAGTCTCTAAGCTTAAATATCAAAAGAATGTTGAGAACAGCTTTACTTTTGACCCTGAATTGACATGATAAAATTTAAATACTAAAGGTAACAACTCTTTCGTATTTTTTATAATTTTGACTTGAGTCTCTAAACTTTAATATTCAAAGAAAGTTTGCAGTATCCTTTTTCTTTGAGCTTGACATAACACAAGAAACATTTTAATTTGAATGTAACCACTATTTTATAGCCTCTTCAAGCATTGAAAGGACCTTCCTGTTTTACCTGTCAGTAAAACTCTGAAAGTTAACAGTCATATTGTTGGTCCTTGTTTCTATTCTATGAAGGTAAGACTGGGCTCAGAAGAAATGCCTTGCACAAGATCACACAGTTAAAAGAAGATCACACAATTTCTTAACTCAGTCCAGAGGCACTGAAATGTGCATTTATCTATTATATGATTATTTAATGAGCACCTATAGTGTGCTAAAACATTTGGAATATAACAAAGAACACAACTTTCTGAGAATTTATAGTTTAGTAAACTTATAAACTGTTACCATCATATCATATGACAATGTGGAGAAGTATAAAGAACTATGGGAATTCAGAAGGACTAGTTTAGACAATATACACCATTCAGAAACATCTACTATGTGATTCAATTGACACTTGTATAATTGCAAGTAAAACCTAAATTTTCTATCTTCTTTGGAAACCTACAAATTTTCAACTTATGCTTTCAAGCCCCAAACCAGCATTTATAACTCTGAGTTGAAAATTAACCCAGTTCTAGATAATACTTGTTTTGCTCCTGCTTCAGAAATAGACCACTTACCATTCTTCCTTTATAAGCCTATGAAGCACAGCACTCAGCAAAGGTGATGAGACATAGTAGGTACTGAGTAGATGTTTCAGTAAATGAATCAGGCCTTCGATTGAGTTGGAGCAGTCTAATCTGATCAAGCTCAATTACTTCTAAGGTATTACTTCGCCTAAGTGTGGATTTTCTTATGTTTCTGTGCTTTAAGCAGCATTACTATTATTTAGCTTTTTACCTTATTCTTTACTAGCTGAACATTAATAGGTTCTCAAAAAAAAGAATAAATTTTTGTGCTAAAACATGATATACCAGGGGCAGGCTTTCTGGACGAGACACCCCCCCCCCACCCCCCGCCCCCCGCCAGCGTTGGCTTGTACCTCTGCGCTCACGGTCTTAGAATTGGAGTCAGGGCCCCACGTGTTCGTTCAACACCAGGCTTCAGCAGCTGTGGCACAAGTAAATTTCTATTGCCCTGGTGGCATGGTGGTTATGAATTGGGCTGCTAACTGCAAGGTCAGCAGTTCCAAACCACCAGCTGCTCTGCGGGAGAATGCTGGGGCTTTCTACTCCCGTAAAAAGTGACAATCTCGTGAACCCACGGGGACAATTCTACCCTGATATATATATATGTATACACACACACATACATACATACATACATACATACATACATACATATATATATATATATTATAGAGAGAGAGAGTCAGAGTCATTATGAGTCGGCATCAACTTGATGGTTGTGAGTTGGGTTTTTTAAATTTTTCTTGAGGGGGATTGGGTGGGAGTCGCAAGAGGGCTGAAGCGGGGAGCCTGGGATGCCCTGAAAGCTTGGGGACATGATAGCAGGAACCTGGGCAAAGAGTGAGGAGGGCTGGTGGGGCTCAACAAGTAACATGTTGGGCCACTAACCAAAAAGATCACCGGTTCAAAACCACCAGCCACTCCTCGGGAAAAAGATGAGACTTTCTACGCCGGTAAGGATTTAAAGCCTCAGAAATCCACAAGGGCAGCCCTCCTTTGCCCTATCGGATCGATTTGCAGTAGAATCGACTTGATGGCAGTGAGCGGGCTGGGTGTCACTAAGAGCTGGTGCCATCTCCATCTTTCAGGTACCTGCTCCTGTACCAGGTCGTATGGAATCCTTAGCAATGTGTAAGAGTGTAGTATCAAATATTAGTTGTCATCACATATGGTAAATAAAATTGTAAGTGGCTTACGTGTGGACATTTCATTTAAAAAAATTTTTGTATTTAAAAATTTTTTTAATCATTTCATTGGGGGCTCATACAACTCATCACAATCCATACATCCATCTATTGCATCAAGCACATTTGTTATCATCCTTCTAAAAATTGTTTTATAAATAATTTTATAGGAGGCTCTTATAGCTCTTATAACAAATTTCTTTTTCAGAGCCATTTATTTTGCCCTTGGTATTTTTTTCCAGACCATTTCATTAGGAGCTAACTCAGACATCACAACATTCCATAGTTCAATCACATCAGGTGGTATTGTACAATCGCTACAACAGTCAGTTCCAAAACATTTTCTTTGTCCTTGAACTCCTTGATATCAGCTCTCTGACCCCTCCCCAATTCCCTCACCAGTCCTCAGGAACCCTTACTCTACTTGTTGTCTCTGTAGAGTGGGTTTCATGTACAGAAAGACACAGAAAAACACATAACAGAGTCAAGAAGGCGACCAACAATGACAAGACACCACAGCGACATACCCCCCCCCCAAAAAAAGACATACCAAACATTCATACCTAGAATTTTTATAAGAGCTACAAATAATCCTTGTGGTGTTTCTAAGAGTGACATTGAGACTACTTGAACATCAAACATGTTGAAAGACGAGTATTTTGGTTTTTATAGCAGTATTATAGAGTATTTTGGTTTTTATAGCAGTATTATATATGCTCTATTTTACATAGTGTAGCAGTTGTTGTTGTTTTTTTTAGTGTAGCAGTTTCTAATGGATTTAGGAGCTTATTGATACCATTCTTCAAGGGCAATTAATGATCTTAGTTATCCTATCCTAATTTTCAGGCAAAGAAGACACTCCCTCATTGCTTGGTCTCTGTGGCTCTCTAACATCAGTGGCAAGTTACAAGTCTCTAACAAGCTTAAAATCTAATGACTACCTTGCAAGTCCTACAACAGAGATGACAAGTCCCGGATTAACTCCATCCTGAGGAAAAAAAAATTTTAAAGCCAGGTGTTTTTATGTTGTAAAAGTTCAGTTTACTTAAATTTGACTGCTGGGAGACTGCTGAAGTTTTTTATTGCTCTGAAATATGTCTGGGATTCTACTGTTTAGAGTTCAGTCTACTCCATCTAACTTGAGTGAAAACCATTGATCCTATTTTTCATTTTTAAAACTCTAATCTTTGTCATTGAACCTCTTAAAGATCCTCCAAATTAATAATGCCACAAACTGTATTTATTGTTCAACCAATTTTCATGTACTCATTTCATTGTATTTTAGTCACCAGAGATTGATTTTGAGCTTCTATTCCAAATAGTTAAGACAAATAGTGTTTTCACAGAAAAATGACTTACACGTTTCATTCATTAATTTCTTCCTATGTTTTGATGTTTCAATGCTTACTTTCTAACTTGAAGGTCCTTGACTGCAGTTTCAGAGGCTTGTTTTCAACATTTATCATTTGGGGTCTACTTGACATTCCACCTAATATTTTATAAATTTGTAGGAATGTGTCTTTTAGGGTATTAATAATTTGTTAACATCAGAGGAAAATTATTTTAAAGTATTTTAGGCCATTCAGATTAAACTGGATAAATTTCTTAACTTTGTTTTCCCAAGATTTTTTTTAAAGGTTTTTGATTTTAACTATGTTCAAGCATGTCTCAAAATATTGGAAATATTTAAAGATGTAAAAAGAACATTGAAAAGGTATTTTATCAAGTTCAAATTAAGGATTTGAGAAGCTTTAAAATAAGGATCAGTAGGCTAATCATCATACCAAATAAATATTTGTGTGACATAAAATCTTTTCCCGTTTGCAAGAACAGTGAGGTGTATATTTTATAGCCGCTTATCACTAATCATACCATAATCTCATTTTAAAATTGATATGTTAAAAATCCATACACTTCCACAGATAATTATTTTGTAGCTTTTGCAATAACTGCAGATAATCATTTGTCTCTTAAAATTTAACTGTACTGAGAGGAATGTATTTAGTATATTTTCTATAGTGGAGACTATGAGGAAAACATGATTAGTTGTGCCAAAGAAGTTTTATACATTGTTTACATAAAGAGGCTACAATACTTTTAAAGGACTTCCTATGGTATTTTTGTTTATTACTAAAGCTTTACATTCAAGCTTAGTAGTGTTGATAGAAACATAGAATGTTCCTCCTAAGGCAGTTTGCTGAGGCAGAGTTGTAAAGGTTGTCCCATTTGTTCTTTGGACTAGCAATGTAGAACCGTGGTGGTTCCTTGCAGTATTGATAGCATCGTCTATAATTTGGAATTTGATAACAGTACAAACTATGTTAATGCAAGGACAAAGGCGGCCAAGGAGTACTTAAAAAGTTGACTGTCCTAGACATGCCAGAACACACAGAGATTTCTTCCTTTGCTGAAGGCTTTGTACTTGTAGAAATGCAAATACTTATTTTGGAGAAAGAGTACTGTTAATCTATTCCTAGTCCTGTATACCTAATTGTGAATGAGGTATCCAAAGCACTTTTTAATAGCTGTGGCTGATAGAAGGTATGAAAACAAGGATAGCTGGAAACTGTGGAAAGTCTGAGGGAAATGATTAAGGAAGTGAACTTCAAAAAATTTAGACCTTGAGCACTATTGCTGCTTTCTTAAGAACCGTCATAAAACTCAAATACTTTATCATTCATGGTCTGCTCTCAACTGACATTTATGATCCTTTAGTAATTAAAAAAATCAGTTAAAATTTCCCATACCTTTTTAATAAAAGGAAATCCAAGATTCCACAATTGATACTTTTTTTTTCCAATTTGTCTACTGTATACAGTAAATATGGCATCTGAGGATCATGACCTTTCCTCCTTTCTAGGAGCTCTTGTATAAATTCATCTGCTATTATAAAATTCAGGTTTCTATTCCTTTTCTTTCACCCTAGTTATAGAGGTTAGTGTTTGCATGAGGAAAAATGTTATGTCTCAACCCTTAATTTCAGGTTGTAGTATTTATTGTTTATAAAAAAGAATGCTGAGTTATATGCCAATATTCCCACGTGTATTTTGTTGCCTTGATGTACTATACTTGTTGCATGTATAGTAAACATTTTGTACCATGTCATTAGTGGTCTTTTTTATTTGACAAAAAGTCACTGAAAAGTTGTACAATGAACTTTTGTTTAAATACATTTGGTAAATATGTATTATTTCACACCAAAAATATTAAAATGAAAATGGAATTTAGAGAAAATCTTACTTCATCATATTAAATTGAATCTTTTTATTAAAATGAACATGATATGCTTTAGAACACACTACATCTACTGAAACAATGGTTATTACAGGGTCATTGGTTTAACTGTAGCACAGTCATGTTTGTTTTCTTATCTATAAGGTAGAAACATTACCATCTTCTTGGCCCCTACATGATGGAACCAGGCAGAATGCCAGCATTATGTAAAGTCCTATGTGTAGCTCTTAAGACATACATTTCAAATCCAAGCTACTAATGTGACTGACAGAAATTTTAAACATGTAAAACCAACTCACTTTATTTTAAATCATCTTTATTAGATTTACATATGAAATTTCAAGTGATTATAAATGTGTCTCAGATTTACAAGTTAGGATAAGCCTGTCATAATGATCCCATCATTAGATAGAATGTCCAGGTTTGGGTAACATTGTATTATTTTTTTTACTGTCCCATGAGGACTTTGAACATCTAAGATATTTAAAATTTTAAATCAGAGTTCATAAAGATTTCTTCAAGAACACATGACCAAAGCAGCTGCTATGTAGTTTTGGCATTCATTCTGCTTTACTGAAAGGAAAGAAAAAATCATACCATTGCCATTACAGTACTTTTAAAAGCCTATCTTAATGCAAACTAAAACTTTTTGTGGTGTTTTTCTTAAGGTTAGCTTATTCTAGGTCCCATTTTCCATACTGCCACAATTGTTACAGTTAGACCAATAGTCACAGCCCAACAACAACAGGTTTTTTCAGGGGTCTTGGTGTTTAGAGGTGCCAGTTCAGAATGCTGCACTGGATAGACAGCATCAGCTGTAGTTTCTTAGATACGGTGTTTATTTTTATCTATTGAGTTTTTATATCTATTAATTTGTCCTCAGAGTTTTATGTATGAGAAGAACTCAGACCCATGAATTACAGGATAGGACCAAAAAGGTAAGAACTAATTGAAAAAAAAAGAACGTAGTAAGGGACTTCTAAGGGAAGCAGTCTATGAACCCACAGTGGCTAGTTGGTTACTCATTGAGGTGTCATTCATAAGGCCAGTGGTTCAAATGCACCAGTCTCTCTGCAGCCTTTAAAAGATTTAAAGGTTTGGAAACTGAAAGGGCAGTTCTCTGTACGACAGGGTCACTATGAAATAGTATCAATTAGGTGGCAGTGGGGTTTTTCTTCTTGTTACGGGAGTCTGCAATATACAGAAACTACAGGTTGAATATTAGAAAACAAGAACACAGCTTGAGATGAATGGAAAAGGTACATACATGGAAAGTCTGAGGGCACTTTAGAATGTTGAAAAGGTAAGACTTCATAGCCATTTTCATAAATATTCTGAAGAACTAAATTTTTTTTTCCAATTATGCAGTAAACATTTCAGAACACATTTTTATATTTAGAAGCCAGTGGATAATTCATGTTAAATATTGGACACCAAACTTTTTTTAATTGTTTTATTAGGGGCTCATACAACTCATTTCACAATCCATACACACATCAATTGTGTAAAGCACATTTGTACATTCATTGCCCTCATCATTCTCAAAACATTTGCTCCCCACTTAAGCCCCTGGCATCAGCTCCTCATTTTCCCGCTCCCCCCTCCCTCATGAGCCCTTGATAATTTATAAATTATTATTTTGTCATATCTTTCCCTGTCCGACATCTCACTTCACCCACTTTATTAATAAACTTCTTTATTAAGAAACATTTTTAACATTTAAAGAGTTTCTATGCACAGATGGAAGAGTTGTGTCATAACAAGACTGGAACATTTTGAACTCTCACAGATCCGTTTTGGGTTTAAGAACATTTGAATGTCTATTTATTGTACCAAACTCACTATCAATCAGTCGATAACGACTCACAATGACCCTGGTAGGAAGGAGGCTGTAAATCTTCATGGGAGCAAAAGTCTCATCTTTTTCTTGCAGAGCGGCGTGTGGGCTGGAATAGCTGACCTGTGGTTAGCAGTCAACGCATAACCCGCTACGCCATCGAGAGTCCTTATTGTACGGTAACTTATTTCTGGTACCTTTTTACGATAACAGATTGGAACTGCCTGCTAGTCCAATCTTAAGGTGAAATATATTTGGGGAAAATTCCAAGTTCATGTAATTTGCACTGTTCAAATACATCTTTGGAGCAAAGTTTACCATGTGAAGTACAACTTGACCTAAATATTTAGTACATCACAAACTAAGTAAAGCCAGCATGCACTTCCTCTATCTCAAGCTAGCTAATAATACATTAAAATATCCTGATTTTTATGGGCAAGCAGAGTAAAGAGTGGTATATGGCATATGTTCTGTATCTCAAAAAAGCAAGCTGATAGGAAAAACATGGCATTTTTTTAATCCTCAAGTCAAATATCCCCAGAAATGTCTAACATTTGAAGCACCACAATGTTTGTTGGCGAGTATAATCTTTGGATTTCCTCATGCCTTCTTGTTCTGCCACACAATACCCTTGATTGCACTGCCTGTTTGCTCTCTCCCCTTCCCATGCATACTCCTTGCTCAAGCCTTTTGGATTTGAATTTAGTTCTCTTACTGAAACTTTTATCTGTCCTGTTTTTAATTAAATTACTTACCTGTCCGAATCTTAGAAGCATTTCCTGCCCACTCTCTCTTCCCTTCAGCTCTCCATAACTCCTATAGCATACTTTTGGCATCACTCAGATCTCCTTGTGGGCAGTATCTTCAGTGTTTTTTAATACACTCTACCACATAAAAAGTCATAATATTGACTAGATTAATAGATAAATGCAGTTCTGTTGCTTTTTTAATTTGAAAGTTCACTTGGCAAAAAATTCAAATATATTACATTAAACTTTCCCCCATCTCTGGAACTTTGGGTCATGAAAAAGGAAGGGAAGGGTTTGAAGTAGAGGAGTCTGTGAGGTTGAGTAGGTATAATGAATAATTTACTTAGGGGGAAAAAGAAGTTTTTAAAAAAGAGATTTTAACTTCATACCTACCTTTTAAAACCATGTAATGTGAATTATATTAAAGGTAACACATCTAATAAGTTGAACAAAACAATATTTGAAAAATTACTTTTAAGTAATATATAAGACAATGTAATATTTGTTAATAGAATGTTTTGTAGGTTTTGGAAACTATAGGTTTACAAATACTACAAATCCTGTAGCCTTTGTATTAAAAAGACTGGGAAACCCATGAGGTTGACAAATTTGTCTACTGATCTAAGGACAATCTGAGAATATTTAGTCACCACCAATATAATTCAATTATTTTATAAGCTAGAACTCAGGGCAGTGGAGATAAAAGATGTAGTATATTTGTCATTTATGGACTAAGCATATAAAAGTACTCTTTAGATTGGAAATATTATTCGGAAAAATGCTTAAAATTCTAGCCAACCCGTCTTGGTTTGTTTGTTGCTTTTTAAAAAAAGTATGAATGCTCCTTTACCTCTTTAGTATGTCTTCATTCTCATTCAGCCTTCTTTCCCTTGAGTTAAAATACATGTAACATTAGATTTATTTAACCACAAAGATGATTACAATTTTCTTGTAGTACAGGAATGGACACTTCTCGTGGTATTTATAACATATTCAAGTTGAAATCTATAGGTGCTTTTTGAGAATATAGTTATAAGTTTTTCTGCCAGTCAATTATCAAAAATAGAGATAGCAAAACCAAAGTAAATTAGAATTTAATACTGTTGAACAGCAATGTTCAAGGTAAACTTTCATATATATAGTATAGATATACTATATATATAATTTCATATATAGTAAAGCATTGATAATTATTTTTACTTAAAATATTTGACTAAAAGCACAGTACTTTTATGAAGGTTATAAAAAAGTTATTTGTTTATATGAATGTGTAATTTGCAACTTTAAGGTTAATCAACAAAGGATAAAATAAACACAAAAGACTACATAAACAAAGCATATACAGTTTGTTTCAGGTGAAACATACTTTCCTACTCTAATACAAAGTGTACTTATTGCCCTACTGAAACTGTAGAAGGTTCGTAACATAAATACATTCCATTTTTAAAAAGTACTTGTTTTTGTAAAATATACATAGAATGTAATAAAGTATTTATTATTATAGGATATAGATCATCTGGAGAAAAATGAAACTACAAGTACAAAAAAATACTATTTTTTATCCTGGCATCACACTCTTTACTTCATTCCCAAGTATATTGAAAAACTAAATTACTGAGATCTTAGCTTACACAGTGACCAAAACCAATTTCTTCCAGGAAACGGCTGCTCGTTGAGTGTCTTGGCCTAGCATAATACTGTGAGATGGCATGAACTCACTGGACATTGAAGTGTTTTGTGACCCATGTAGTCGTGATCTCTCTAATGTCAGAACAAGCCATTAGAAATTATCTAGAAAACTCCCAAGAACAATGATGCTGGAATTACAAAATAGTTAAAAATCAGAGGCTCATTCTGTACCCAGTCTTCTTTTTACTAGTTAATATGCAAGGTGACTTTGCAGTGTACACCAAAGCCTGATTGAGGTTCAACTTTACTCCAATCAGGAAAGAATTCCTTCTTAAACAGTAAAGAAACTTACAAGTTTGGCCAACAAAAATGGCAGTATCCACATCACATAACTGTATTGTTCATAAAAGAGAAAATATCCGTAACTTTCATTAGAGGTATGGATACGAAGCCTTAAAATAGTAACGGATGGGGGTTGGTGAAAAAAAAAAAAAACCTAATGCATTTGGATCATCATCATGTGCTGTCCACTCAATTTTCATTCATAACCACCCTATAGACCAGAGTAGAAATGCCTGTAGAGTTTCCAAGACTCAGTGTTTACAGAAGCCGACTGCTACATGTTTCTTCCCCGGAGAGACCACCGACCTCTCCGGATAGCAGCCAGGTGCCACCAGGGCTTCTTATATTTGGATTAAAAGAAATAAGCTAGATAACAATGTAGCACTTATTATCTAAAAGTAGGTAATATTTGGTAAATACAAAAACTATTTAATGGCTGCCTTACTAAAAAATGTACATATCTCTGACCATGATTTAAATGTGCAAAAGTGATATTTTCCCTTAAAGCCTGTGTAATCATTTAACACACAATTCAAAAAGTTGTAGCAGTGTACTCAACGAGAGTAAGTTACACTGAAACACAGACATCAAATTCTCGGGGTATTGCTTACAAACTAAGAAAATTTTCTTTTACTATAAGAATGTTCAATAATGATCATTTCTGTAATCTTTCATTCTCTCAAAAATGAGGATGACAAAGCTTATTTTAAAAATAGGAATGATTTAGAGGTAGAGTAATAGAGTTCACATTTAAATTACAGGAAAGAAGGACATCATATCAATTGTAGATGGAAAGAGCTCTGGCCTAACTGTCTCCATTTTATTATTTGGCTAGAGTTATTACTTCAAGTTGAAACAACATTAGTAACTAGTACTGCTTGCTTTGAACACTTTGTTTCTGGAAAAAATCCTTCCCAAACTCATATGTACTGATCATAATGGCACAAGCAGGAGCAATTTTAATTAATCGAGGTATTAGGCCTGAAAAGAGAGTAAGAGTCATCAGAACAAATTTTACTTTTATTTTAAAAGTGTAATTTATGTAGCTTTATTCTGACATAATCAAAGTAAATGAAATGGCACTTTAAATATCATACCAAAAACATAGCTAACAAAACACCTAATGACTCACTTCAACCCTCTCAGACTTTAATTCCAAACCACTGTAGAAATTTAATTTTACTGACAGTAAAATTGCTATTTAATACTTCTATTCACTTATAGCACAGATATTTAAGAGAAAACCATAAGTGCTTTCCCATAACTCTCTAGAAAGTTAACTTTAGAAGATGTTAAACATTTAAGTAATCACTGTATTCCATGATTCTATAAAGCAAATAGTTTTACCTGTAAACAATCCAGAAACTCCATTTTTAGCTATAATGTTCTTCATTATAACCCAGGTTGACATACTTGAAGGTATAGACACTATAAATATTAAAAAAAAATAATGCAAATGTGGAAATAATTTATAGTACAGATAATGCACATCAAATAGTATTTTGTTATTTGTAGGATATATCATTCAGTTATAATAAGAACTGACCAGTTTACCTTTAAAGCTATTTTAAATCTTTTTTTAAAAACATGTTATTTATTTATTTTGATTCTTTTTTTTTTTAATCTTATTTTTAACTGCTGGACTGATCCAAAACACACAAAACACAGGGAAAGGATGTAAGTTTAAAAGGGTATATAATTGATTACAATCAAAGAAAAATACACACAAGCTTTCCCCAAATCAGTGATGCTTTATTTCCTATGGTTGGCTCATCTTCAATTTTCAAAAGATGTAGAGAAATTCTCATTAGATACCTAATAGCATGTAGAAGTCCTCATAAATAATTTTAATTTTCATTGCAATGCTAACTATTAATATTTTTTAAACAAAAATAAGGTTCTAAGGAAAATAGCTCCTTCTCTCCAGTGGGACCCTGTTGAACAATAACCTTCCTGAAGCGATGCACTAGTCTTGAAATAAGTAAGTCCTGCTTCCTCCAAAGGAAGTATGTCCTGAACACCTCAGTTACCAGCAACCTCAAATATCTGGAACATAGTGTACAAAACGAAACAAGAAAAGTAGGCAAATTTTAAACATTAAAGCTTATGAATAAAATTTTCTTCTGCAGAGTTCAGGTATCTTCATTTTACATATTGCGTCAAAGCTAGTTTTGCCCATAGATTACTAGGTGCGATTTAAAAAAATAATAAATTCTGCTAAGAACCAGGCATGCTACCATGTTAACAAAGAAGCTGAATGTTCAGGCTTGGTATGAGACCAGCTGGATGATATTCCAACAATCCTGAATAAAACTCACTGTGTTTTGAGAGCAGAATTATTCAATTGAATAATCATTTACAACAACTCTGAGTCCTTGAGAAAGAGTAAAGAATTTACTACCAAGAAAGCTTGGGGAAGAAGGGAAAGATTATTAAAAAGACATCCTTCAAAAATGGCTTTTTTGAAGTTTGTGACTATGGAATGGAGCTCATTATTTTATAATTTCATTGATACAAATATCAGCATCTGGTTATTATGACAAATAAAGTCTACAATTTACTTAAAAAGTCATTCCATCAATATAAATAGTAAAATATAAATGTGGCATGCCAACTTCCAACACAAAGTTGTTGTTTTACATTTAAATATAGAGGTTGCTATTTTATATTAAAATAATTTAAAATATGAAAAATTTAACGTAAGTAACAACTTTATACTACACATTTGCAATTTTTAATCTACCTGATTACATTTAAATTTGGAAACAAGTAATGAAAGAGAAATTCAGGGAGGCTGAAAATCTGCAAACCAGTTTCTATTTTTCAGGAGTTAAATTACTTTCCCAGTTAAGAGCATCAACTGCATTTAAGCCTTGACAGAACATTAATGGAACCTCAAAGACCACCGTTCCAACACTGAAGAGCCACTCCTGTAGGTAATCAGCAACTTCTTTACTGTAAGAGCCATGTTCTTTCGAAACATCTCCAGCATACAGAAAAGCATTGAGGAGAGTAAAGCAAGCACCCACTTAGTGACCATCCGAATGTATTAAATCTTCCCAACTCTTATCTTACAAATACAACGGAAGCTATGTAGCTAGTTCTCTTCTCAGAGGTAGCCACTCTTCTTGTTTTTAATCCTCCTCATACATGTGATTAAACTTTTACTATATCTAAGCATATATATAAACAATATGCTCTTATTTTTCATGCTATTAAACATCATATAAAATGAGACCACAAGCTCATTTAATACTATAATGTGCCATTAGTATTATCTATATTGATAAGTGTAGCTATAGTTTACCCATTTTAATTCCTGTGTGCTATCTCATTTTATGGATATCTAAATTTATTCATTTTCCTGCCAAGGGACATTCTTCAGTGGTTTCCAACTTTGTAGTCTTAAGAATCCTGTAATGAATAACCTTATACACATGTATTATTTCTCTAGGGGACATAAATATATTGCTAACATATCTCTTGATATTGCCCAACTGTTCTTCAGATTAGTTAGTCCAACGTGATACTCCCACCAGCAGAATGGAAGCCCCACCATGCCACATCCTCCCAACAATTCAAATAGGAAAGTACAAAAGTCCTCTCACTGCTGTTCTATTTGTTGTTTTTCTAATTATTAGTAAGACATATTTTTATACATATATTGGCCAACTTTTTAAAGGATTCTTTTATTTCTCTTCAAGTGCTTTAAAATACTGAGTATGTTCAAAGAGAAAAAAGTTCAGCCCCTGGAAAAAAGTGGACATAAGCCATGTTTTAAAATGTAAAGCACTACCTATAGATGATTCACATAAATTAAGTAACAAATACCTCTATTATAGAGTCCACCACTGACTACACCCTACAATACTTCTGTAAGAGCTTCTCCTCTATTAGCTTAGGAGTTCTCAGAGGGCATGGCTATGGAAAATGGCCTAAGTGTGTTGCCTTAGAAAAAAATACATAAAGCTATTTGGTGTGTGAATAACAAAGAGAATTTCATATACTATATAAGATACAGTGGACTTTAAGATTTCATATATTTTGGAATGAGTTCCGAGTATTTTTTTCTGGGTATTCCATCCTAAAAGTGTATTCATTTCTTTGATAGAAATAAAGAATAAGGCAGAAAAGGAACAAAGGAAACTTGCTCCCACTATTATAGATATTACTAATTGCTGTAAGAAAAACGGGGGAAAAAAAGATGGCATCTTAAAAATGTTTAAATTCATTAAACTTACTTTTATGACTTTCATACATCCAAAGTTGTGTCTGCTTTTGTGTTTTTACCACATCAAATGGTAAAGTCACAACAGCTGCAACCTATTAAAAAATAAAATTAATTAAGTGACCCTTTAATTGTTCCTAAGATATATTTTCACTCTTCTAATTAGCACATTATTTAACAAGGATAATAAAAATAAACCAGAACTTACCATGAAGCCACCAGATACATTAAAAGAGAAGACCTATCATAAAATGTAGATTTTCTGAGTGCTCTATTGAACAAGCTCATGGAAAATTCCTTTTTCTACAATCTTTCTGAAGCCTCATTGTATATCCTGGGTCTGCCTCACACCACATTGGAGGAGGTACACAATACTCAGTCTCAGGGAAGGTGCATTTCCTCCTGAGGCAACACAGCTAGTAGTGGCAGGGCCAGAATCCAACCAGATCCCTCTAAACCAGTGATTCTCAATTCTCAGCCTTCCTCATGCCGCAACCCTTTCATACAGTTCCTCATGCTGTGGTGACCTCAAACCATAAAATTATTTTTGTTGCTACTTCATCACTGTAATTGTGCTACTGTTATGAATTGTAACGTAAATATCTGATAGGCAGGATCTATTTTCTTTTTTTAATCGTTTTATTAGGGGCTCATACAGCTCATCACAATCCATGCATACATCAATTGTGTAAAGCACATTTGTACATTCATTGCCCTCATCAATCTCAAACCATTTGCTCTCCACTTAAGCCCCCAGCATCAGCTCCTCCTCTTTCCCCTCCCTCTCCACTCCCCCCTCCTTTATGAACATTTGATAATTTATAAATTATTATTTTGTCATAACTTGCCCTGTCCGACATCTCCCTTCACCCACTTTTTTGTTATCCGTTCCCCAGGGAGGAGGTTATCTGTAGATCCTTGTAATCAGTTCCCCCTTTCCAACCCACCCTCCTTCCACCCTTCCAGTATTGCCACTCACACCCCTGGTCCTAAAGGGATCATCCGCCCTGGATTCCCTGTGTTTCCAGTTCCTATCTGTACCAGTGTACATCCTCTGGTCTAGTCAGATTTATAAGGTAGAACTGGGGAGGAGGAAGCATTTAGGAACTAGAAGAAAGTTGTATGTTTCATCATTGCTACATTGCACCCTGACTGGCTCATCTCCTCCTCGAGACCCTTCTGTAAGGGGATGTCCAATGGCCTACAAAGGGCCTTTGGGTCTCCACTCAGCACTCCCCCCCATCATTCACTATGGTAAAATTTTTTTGTTCTGATGATGCCTGATACCTGATCGACACCTAGTGATCGCACAGGCTGGTGTGCTTCTTCCACGTGGGCTTTGTTGCTTCTGAGCTAGATGGCCGCTTGTTTACTTTTAAGCCTTTAAGACCCCAGATGCTATATCTTGATAGCCGGGCACCATCAGTTTTCTTCGCCACATTTGCTTAAGCACCTATTTGTCTTCAGCGATCATATCATGGAGGTGAGCACACAATGATACGATTTTTTTTGTTATTTGATGCCTGATAACTGTACCCTTCAGCACCTCGTGGTTACACAGGCTGGTGGTGTGTTTCTTCCATGTGGGCTTTGTTGCTTCTGAGCTAGATGGCCACTTGTTTACCTTCAAGCCTTTAAGACCCCAGACACTATATCTTTTGATAGCTGGGCACCATCAGCTTTCTTCACCACATTTGCTTATTCACCTGCTTTTTCTTCAGCGGTTGTGTCGGGAAGGTGAGCATCATAGAAAGGCAGGATGTATTTTCATTGTTACAAATTGAACATAATTAAAGCATAGTGATTAACCACAAAAACAATATGTAATTATATATTGTGAAATATTTATTTCTAATGACAAATGAAATTTTGTCTTTAAGCATGATGTAGCATGGGTGACAGTCCTCACGCGGGGTACTCATATGTGGGCGTATCTGCATGTGGGCGAACCCGCCTGGAGACGGATAGAGGAGCGGTGTCTTGGTATCGGAAATAGGTGTTTTCCAATGGTCTTCGGTGACCCCTGTGAAAGGGTTGTTTGACCCCCAAAGGGGTCGTGACCCACAGGCTGAGAACAGCTGCTCTAAACCCAAAAGTAATGCTCACAATTTATGTTGTTCCTGTTAGTTCCACTATTTTAGTTTTTTATTTTAAAGCTTACAGTGCTGAGTATATAAGTAAGCATCTATGATTTTCTAGCAGATGTTTTAAAAATAACTCAAATGAAAAAGCTAAATTTAAATAGACTCTTTACTTTTCATTCTATGCACCTCTTATTTGTTTCAACATCTTTATCAGTGCAGTTATAATAGCTTACTCATATTTTAAAGTTTTCCCAAATCAACCAATTCATAAGTCATTTCCATAGTGCATTAATTATTCATGGGAGATATTTTAAAATAATGAAATTCCCATAAAATATATCTTAAGATAATTTATATTTCATTTTACCCCATCAACTCATTCGTTGGTTTAGTTCTTTATTTCAATCAAAATCGATCAAAAACACATAAGACAAGTTTCAAAGATCTCAGGTAAAGTAAAATCAATTACTGTTTCTCCATGTCTACAATCCACCAGCAAAAGTTACAATGTATAAGCTTATGTATAAGCGCTTGCATACTTTCTAAAATATGATTTACCTTATCTGTTTTTTGACAGAATGCCTGGTAATTATCATACTGATAGGCTTTTTCTGTTGCAGAAAGATATCTTTAACTGAAAAATTGTCAGAAGGTAGTGACATTTTCTAGATCAGAGAATTAAAAATAATTGTAAAATAGAGTAGAAAAGTAGAAAACTTTATTGGGAAGCTGGAATAACATTCTAGATATAATCTTGTATTCTTTTGAACTACTCAATAATCCTAAATTTTGTTGTGTTTGTTTTGCTGTAATTTGCTTATAATCTACATCGATTGACTGGGCAGAGCTGAGAAAATCCAGATCTAAATTTTAAACACACCACGGTACTTCTTATAACCTAAACTTTCTCAGTCTAATTACTCCAATATTTTTCTGCAGGTCTCCATCACTTCCCTACGCCCCTTTCACTCGTGTTTTCATGTGATTTCCCCTATGTCTACATTTCACTGTAAGTCACCACAAACTCATTTTCAAAGTATGCAAGTATAAGAAAACACTTGTGACCAAAGTCACAGTGATTGTTCTCTGTGTAAGAGAAGTCCTCTACGAGACTTTCATTATTTGGAGGGTAAGAAAGGGGTAAGCTCTATTACCCAGAAAGGATCCTTTGAGATTTGTCTCTTCTCTGATTTTAATTTTTGTTGAAATTATTTTATGAAGTACTTAATAAATCAAAATGCTTTCAAAGGAATTAGTAGCAGTGGATAAAACTGTTTCTATTTAGTGCTATAGATTCAAAGGATGACACCCCATGAAAGAATACCTAATCAGATCTGTGGCATTTAATGAACGAATGTATTACAAAATGTTATGTAAGAAAGCACTAGTTAAAGTATTATGAAATATCGACAACAAAAGAATACACTTACAGAACCAGACAATGCTCCTGAAGTGAAGTTGATCATAAATGTCGGTTCATATAAACCAGATTTCTCACACAACCACTTCTTTAAAGCTTCATAGTTATACCAGTACATTGCTAAAAGACATAGAACAAAAGGAATATATCTTTAGAGGTATAGAGTTAATTTTTAACAATTTGTGATATTATACTTTAAAGGAGAAATCCTAAATCCTGCTTTCATCTTAGGCATATACTACACATGGTATTTTTGAAAATGGAATCAAATTCTCAATAATACTCATAAACAAAAAAAAAACTTTCATAAGAAAAGTAGTACTTTAGTTAAAAAATCTGACAAAGACAGTATGATAAAGGAAAAGTATAAGCCAATCTTACTCATGACCAGAGGGATACAAATCTCAAATAAATTAGTGAATACATAATAAGCATAGGCTTATAAAAGCATCACGCTATATAAATATTGTGGAATTTGTGAAGAATACTGAATCTAACAGGGACTGCCAGAAGAATGAACAAATCAGTCATCAATACAATCAGAATGCTCCATAGAAGCAAGAATTGGAAGATTTGGTTTGCTCAAAAAAGATCTCTAGCTAGAAAAGGACTTCATGGTTGGTACAATAGAAGGCCAGCAAAACCTAGGGAAATCTTCAGTGTGATGAGATGGATGGACACAATAGTCCCAACAATGAACTGGGACAAACCCATGATCATGAAGATGGCACAGAAGCAACAACAAATACTAACCACAATGAAGCCAGAAGTGTTTCATAAAAGTTCATGTACCCTGATTAAATTGGATCTTATCCATGTAATGCAGAGGTATTATAATAAAAATATATTGTACTTCTGTGTGTACTACATGGTAAATAAAATTAGCATAGTAAATGAACTTAAAACAAAACCTTTAAATGCCACACAACAGATCAACACATTAAATAAGAAAAAAGATGTGATAAAATGATGTAGAAGCATTTGATACAAGTTAAATGTTTCACTAAAAACATTCAAGTTTCTAAGGAAACTAGGTATAAAAACTTCTTGAATTTATAAAATGTGTACATCAAAAACCTATAGTAAAAACAATTGTTAATGGTAAAATAACAGAACTATTTCTGATAGAACAAAGAAAATGATGGACATACATTATTGTTACTACTATTCAAAACTATCAGGCAGAAGAATTAGATGTGGAAAGAAATAAAAGCTATAAAGATTAATAACGAAGAAACAAAATAGTTGTATTTCACATATAACATTATTACCTACAAAAAACCACAGTCTACATAGAAAACCCTAAAGTTAGACAAATGACAGTTTATAATAGAGTTTTAAAAGGTATCTGGATATAAACAAATATACAAAATTAAATTGCAACTGGATCAGTTACAAATATTTTAAAACTACAATTTATATATTAAAAAATGAGAGCTTTAAAAATAACTACCAAAAATAATGGGGAAGTATATCGAGTACCTAGAAATAAATCTAAAATAAAAGATGTAAACCAACTTTTGTGAAGAAAATTTTACATCTCTATTGAAAGACTATAAAAAATTTCATAAAACAGATATTCCATGATTATGGATGGAAAGATAATAAAGTTGTCAGTTTCTTTAAGTTGACCTAGAGGGTTAATATGAGTCAGCATCAACTTGATGGCAGTGAGTTTGTTTCGTTTTGAGAGAAAATTAATTTCTACTGAAAATGGAGTTTTTATGAAACCTCTCATTCTAATTCTAATATTTGTATGTAAAAGTTAGGACCTAAGAATTAAAAAGACCCCCTTAAGAGTTATGGGTTGAAAAAAAAAAAAAAAAAAAAAGAGTTATGGGTTGAACTGGATCTCTAAACTGTGTTGTGAATTCTAAATCCTACAGGTATGGAGAGGTAAATGCAATCCATCACTTTAGAAAAGAACTTGGCATTACCTGTTTTATGTACCTATATACTTGAGTATAAGCCGACCCGAGTATCAGCTGAGGCACCTAATTTTAAGCACAAAAACTGCATTAAAAATGTGCTGAAAAACTAGGCTTATACACGAGTACATATGGTATATTACTAGAGAAATTCTAACACATATATACCAATAAGACAGTTTTAAAATGTTGATGGCAATATTTTTACTTGTTTATTTATATATACACATTATCAAAAGGAAAGGAAACAAAAGTACACATAAAAACAGCAATAAACCTTAGGAAAAATCTGAGTAAAATATATTTTTAAAGCTCAAAAATAGGAGAAATTACAAAGTACATTTTTCAGTAATACATACAAGGGCATACTCGGGGAAAAAAATGTAACTTTTCCCCCAAAGCTATGTATTTAAATTTTTTTTACAAAACAACATTAGCACTTTCAAAGTACTCTCCATTATACGTAAAAACATTTGTCAAGTCTGTGATTCCCATTCTTGCAAACATTTTTCAAATTCATGTTTGGATGGCTGACAACACCCCCCCTCTTGTCTTTTTTTTACTTCTTCTTTGTCATCAAATCACTGTCCTTTCATGTCCCTCTGCATTCATGGAAACAAAAAGAATTTGCATGAAGCGAGATCTGATGAGTCGGGTGTGTGGGGCAAGAGAGGCATGCTGATTTTTGCAAAAAACTGGCACACTGAGATGGCTGAGTGAGTAGGTGCATTGACTTGGTGGTAAAACCAGCCCCCATCTGCCACAAATCAGGCTTTTTTCTGCAATCTTTTCAGAATCTCTAAATAGAAAGTTTGGTTAACAGTCTGACCTGGTGGGATGAATTCCAAATGCACTACGAGTTGATGTTTTCCTTTCCAGAATGAGGTTTGTCATCAATGAACATTTCACCTTTTTTGAAATGAGAAAACCACTCATTCACTTGAGCTTGTCACACAGTGCTGTCTTTGTAAGCTGTGTTCAACATCACAACAGTTACTGTGGCATTTTTCCCCAGCAGGAAACAAAATATCACAGCCACATGCTGTTCTCTTAAATTGGCCATCACAAAATTCACTGTGACCAAAGAGAACCTCCCCAGGCGGAGGGAGCTACTGGGTGCACTAACTCAGAGCGAGTTGATCAATGTTCACCCAGCAGGAAAAATGTGTACTACAAAATCTTCACCCGGCAGAGTTTTTTTGGGGGGGTACCCCTTTTATAAGGAGACTTCAAAAAGCTGTGGAAAAATTCCAATATCTTTTAACCCATTGTCCACACATTTTATTTTTAATTTATTATTAATTGGGAGTTAATACATATATCATTCCATAGTTCAATCACGTGAAGCAGAATTGTACAATTGCTACCACAGTCAGTTTCCAACATTCTTCCTGGTCTCCTTGGCATCGACTCCTTTTTACCCCACTCACCACCAGCACTGTCCCACCTACCCCCACCCTGAGACCCTTACTCTACTTGCTGTCCCGGTAGGTTCATCAATCCTGGGTTCATATACCGAAACACAGAAGAACATAAAACACACTTTATAAGCGTGACCGCCAATGACATAATACCCTAAGTATGTCCAATGACATAACCCCTAATATGAACAAGCAAAAAGAAAATACAGGTAATGTTGGAAACCAGATCGGGTCCAGCATGCATCAGAGAAGATCAACTGACAAAATTTTGACTGTTAAATCACATTTATGCCTTTGATCTTCTATCTCACTCTCCAATGCACTCTATTTAGTAACCATTTCCCTCCCATCCCTCAATTGTGGATAGAGGAAGTTCACCAGAGGCTTATTTCCTATATAGTTCCCACAAATGAATCTCGAGCTCCCAAGTCACCCATAGCCTTTTGCCAACCAGATTCTTAAAATTTAGGCTCTGAATACTAATCCCTCCGACTTCAGATTACATGCTATACAATCCTTTGGTGACTGATGATGATGTGCTTCTTCCATGTGGACTTAGTTGACATCTCACTTTAGATGGCTGCTTGTTTGGAAACAAGCCTTTAAGAACCAGATGCTACTTTATCTGATAGCCAGGCACCATCTAATTTCTTTGCCATATTTTGCTATAACACTCTTCTGTGTTCCTTTCCTGAGGGCGAGTATCGAGTAGGGCCACGATGTTAGATCTAATTGTTCTTAAGTTGGAGCTGGGATGTAGCATGAGTCCACATTCCATTCCTAGATTTTTAATTTATTATTAATTGGGAGTTAATACATATATTGTTTCATTCCATAGTTCAATCATGTCAAGCAAAATTGTACAATTGCTTCCACAATCAGTTTCCAAACTTATTTTTCCTCCCTGGACTCCTTGACATTGCCACATTTTTACCCCCTACCCCCACCCCCCTGCACTACACTCCCCAACCTCCCACCACCACCCCTGCCCATCGAACCCTTATTTCACTTGCTGTTCCTATAGGTTCATCAATCCTGGATTTCATTTATCAAAAATCAGAAAAACATGTAACACAATTTCAAGAGTGTGACTTCCAATGATATAACACCTCTGAGATACACCCTACTATGAACAAACAAAACCAAATAAAGCAGAATGCCATCACAGGTTGGCCAGAGAATACGTAGCTTATCCAGCAGATGGGGCTTTAGTGGAGCCAGACCTTGTTTGTCCTCCTGCCAGCAGCTAACCCCCTTGGTACGGATGAATTCCGCTGCCTCAGATACCAAGTATTTTCTGACTTAAGTCCTCAAGTTACAAACTTTTTGAAACCCCCTCATACATATTTGATAAACTATTTTTCTACATTAAATGAATGATAAAACCAAAATTCAACATAGTGATTACAGGGTGGGATAGTAAAAAGTATTGACATCCATAATTCCACCAATAGTCTCTTCAAAGCAAACAAGACGTTAACTATTACCCACTACCCCTGATTCAAATCTGACTGAGAGCAGCTCTATCGAGAACACGAGAACAGCTCCCTAGGGTTTCTGAGAGTCTTTATGGGAGTAAAAAACCTTTCTCTTAGTGTGGGTGCAGCTAGTGATTTGAACTGCCAATGCCAACTTGTGGTCAGCAGTTGAATGCATAAGCTTCCAGTTTTTAACATTACCCAATTCCAAAACCATTTCCACATTTAAAGTACGGTATCTCTTAGAGCAGCACTGTACTCTTTTGTAACAAATATCTGTTTAAGTTATCTAGTATTGAGCCAACAGAGACGTATTCTGCCATTATTAGGCTCTGGCTGATGACACCTTTTAACATCTGTGGGACTAGGTTCTGTGCTTCTTGGCATCAATCTTCCCCTGGGTGTAGGAGGTTCTCCGTGCAGGGACTCCATGCCCAAAGGATGCTCTCTGTTCCTAGCTATTGTTTCTTGGTGGTACTGAGGTGTCTATCTCCCTGTAAGTGTCTCTTTCCCTTTATCTCTTTTAAAAGGTAATGTGGGTCATATCTCAGTAAAACTCCGGCAGATTAGTGCAGTGAACTAAGTCACTGTGTTTCATCCTACCTACCTTAATACTGCCTCATTGATATAACAAACAGAACCTAATTCTGCCTCATGAACACAAAAAGACCAAAATTTACAGTACACCACAAATAGAGGATAATTACATCATTACACCATGAGGAGAGTGAATATATCATTATATAACTGCCAAACTATAGAAAATCATGGCCTACCCAAGGTGACACATATTTTTGGATAACACAATTCAGTACATGACACTAAGTATGACACTTAAAATCATGTTCAGAGGTAGTTTACATTTTTGAATATGAAAACATGCCAATTAATCTTTAAGATGAAATTAAATATATGGGTAACAGAAAACCAAGCTTGAATTCAAAACTACTCATTAATAAAATGACATAAAGATCTGAGAGCCACCATTAAACTAAAGATAGTAATAGAACTTTAAGCCTAATGGGATTTAAAATCTAATTACTATATAAAATTTATCAATAGCAATAAGAAAGCCCTACCTGAGAAAGGTACATCTCTAAGAACAGTAGGAGACCAGCCTTTCCACAGGGAAATCCAACCATCTTGGGAGACTGCCTTGCTGACAAACTGATGTACTTCCTTGTAAGAAAACTTCTTAGACTGCATCTTGGTTCTAATCAATTCTAATGGACTTATCACAGTTACTGCACCAACTGATAAAATAAGCAAATAATGAACAAAAACAAAGGCACATACCATGCAACAAATGTAAACCATTATACGACACACATAAAAAATGTTTCATGCTACCCTGTTTCCCCAAAAGTAAGACATCCTCCGAAAATAAGACCTATTTACAGTTTTGCCTCTCACTGAAATATAAATCATCCCCCTGAAAATAAGGCCCCCAGAAGCTACTGTAACTCTGGACTCTGGACTGTAGCGGCAGGCGCTGCCACGCAGCTCACTGTTGGCCAAGCGCAGCCAGAGCAGATAGGAAGTGTGAGGTCTCTTTTAATAAAATAATAAACAATAAATGTGTACCGTATTCTTCTTCATGGAAAAATAAGACATCCCCTGAAAATAAGACCTAGCACATCTTTGGGAGCAAAAATTAATGTAAGACACTGTCTTATTTTTGGGGAAACGGTATAAACTTTTATTCTGAAATATCTGTAAATCTTAAAATAAAATTTCTAAAGACATCGACATAAAGGCACTCTGACAGGCCAACTAGAAATGTTGTATATTAACCACTTCCTGTACAACAGCCTCGGTTCAATTCGAGTCTCACGAAACCTAACTCCCGTTTCACAAATGTCCTTTGGCCTAAAGATAATTTCTTCATTTATCTATTAATATTAGTTTTGATAGTTTTTACTCTGTTTTTGGTGAAAGATTACACAGCAAGTTAGGGTCACACTTGCCAAAATTTCCACACAAATTGATCAATTCCAGTTTTCACAGGGTGTCACTATTCTCCATATCTGTGTTTTGGTACTCTAGTTCTTTAGATTAAATGTTAGTTTCTTATAATGACCCATGCAAATGTTTTTTTAAATACATGACAGTGATAATGGGTAACATATCTTTTATTTCATGTATCACTGATTAAACTCTTAATCTCAAAATAGAAAATGACACCTTGGAAGTTCAGGTGAGCCCAAGTAATCCTGGCATCATTTAAAAATCTCTAAAATTAGAGAGAATGCAGCAATCCCACAAAGCAGTCTACTGGCAATCACCAAAGCATGTGATACTAGCATGCAAAATGTCGATTCCTAATACTTGACATATTATTTAATTACTAACTACATTGTACATTATTGGTGAATATTAAAGTTCAAATAATAACTAATTAATGAGAAAGAATAATGAAAATATAGTTTATTTCTTACATCTGGCCAAAATTCCAGCAACAATTGGTATGCGGGTTTCATTTTCTCCCAATTTAGATTTCAGAAAAGCAGTTAATTGATCATAGCTGGTAAAATAAATAACTGTGGCAGGAACTGCCATCACTCTGTTAAAAGCACACAAACAAAAAGAGTTGCTCAAAATGTGAGTAAACACAAAGCGATACTGTTAATAAATATAAAGTACACAATAGCATAAGATTCACTGAAAAAATATAGTAGCAATTATAAAATGTTTTTGATATATGGCCCATATATTATATATGCTTTAATTGGAAATAAATTGTCATTATTGCCACCAGAATTATACATCCTAGTTTAAAGGGACTCCGATGGCATATTCTTTTAAGTAAAAATATCAAATGGGAATTAACAATAAAATCCTAACAGAAACTTGAATCTGCTAAAGTCAAGCAAAACGACATTGCCATATTTAATATTTATGCGCCAGAAGACGAGTGCAGGTGTATCATCTAAGTACAGTACTTTCCAAGGCAGTACTTTGCAAAATCTCAAATTCTACCGTGAAGTTTTAACATGAAGTTTTATTTTAGGAGGAGGACTGACTCCTGGTTTCATATTTTTTACTAACTTTATAATCTTGAGCATTTTGAAAAAAATATTTTCCTCAAATTTGGTCCTTGAAAAGCATACAGTGAGTTCTTAGAAGGAAAAGTGGCAGAGAAAAGTCAGGAATTTAGAATTATGTATATTTGGCCTTACTAGCTTTTCATATTCTTACAATTATGAAAGTTATCTGGAGGAGAAAATACACATATTGCAGTATAGCTTAGTATGCATATATGCAGTGAAGTGAAATTGCTTGCAATGGCTTTTCTATCCAGTCTTTATGATTCCCACCAAATGACTAGATGGGATCATACAAATAAAGTATAGCACATTGGACTAATATATAATATAGTATAGTATCTAACTAGAGTATTGGACAGTATTGCCATTCTGCTGGTACAAAGTGAGCCATCTGAGAGGCAGGACCAGATAATCCCAAAGTCACCAAGAAGAAGAGTCATCAGGTAAGCATGTGAGAGGTACTTTTGTAAAGTGGCAGAAGTAGCTTAGACACCAACACTGCCGCAGCCAGACAGTGAGACTTAGTAATGGGTTTCCCAGCCCACAAGTCAGTAAAGCTGACAGCCATTGGGCAGGGGACTGGCTAATAAAGTGGATACTCTTTGGTTATTTATCAGCACTAAAAGAGCTTTATAACACTTGCCCAAGCAGATTAGAAGCCCAGGAACCAAGAAGCTGAGGGCTGAGGGCCAGAGAGATACAGAGGACCAGAAACAGATGTTGTGGCTGACATGGCTAAGGGGCTGTGGACGAAAGGATGTCTCTGTTATGAATACTGGTTTCTTTCACTTAGTTGGTACTGCCAGGTAAGCATTGGACTGTTAACTGCAAGGTTAGCTGTTCCAACCCACCAGCTGCTACACAGGAGAAAGACGAAGCTATCTGCTCCTATCAAGATCAGTAACAGGAGCAACGCCAAGGAACAAAGCCCTTAAAGAGCCCCAAACAAAGACCGCAGACTAGGAGGGGCAGCTCCCAGAATTCCCCCAGGACCAGTGGGGAGATAGTCATAAAGGTCAGTGGACAGACCTGGAATTATGTATGTTTTTTCTCTTTTCAATCTTTTGTTTTTATTTGTTCTATGTCATTGTTGGTTTGCCTACTTATATAAGACAAGCATGGGAAGCAAGCTCAAGGAGAAAGCAATAGGACTGACAGTCCCAGAGGGACTTGGGGGGAGAAGGTAGCAGGGGAAGGGTGTGGTGAGCAAACACCACCACAGACAGGGGAACAACTAGGGCATTAAAATCACAACAAGGAGGCTGTAGGGATCGTGGGGGTGTTGGAGCAACAGCAATCTAGCTGAGAGGAAGTACTAATAGGCGGAAATAGGGTGAGCATGATGGTGGGGCAGGAAGAAGGTGAGAGAAATGATCTATGAAGCAAACATGGATAGAGGTATAAGCATAGGTGTGTGCATATGTAAATACATTAATCCATAAAAATAGAGGTATTAGTCTATGTACATATGTTTATATGGCAATACACTGAGGTAATGGATGGACTTCGGGCCTCTGCTCATACCCTCCCTCAATATAAGAACACTGTGTTCTAACTGGCATTCTGTGATGCTCACCCTCCCGGAACAATTGCTAAAGACAAAATGGGTGCAAAAGCAAATGTGGTGAAGAAATGAGGGGAGGAAGGGGGAACCAATCACTATGATCGACACATAACCACATACCCACCTACAGGGAGAAGAACAACAGAAACCATGAGGGAAGGGAGACAGCGGTTGGTATGAAAAGTGGGTGTAAAGTGAGCCAACTGAGAAGCAGGAGCAGAGAGCACCACAGCCAGTGGAGTACTTGTGCCACAGAGACTGAACACAGCAGGCCTGGCCATGCAGATCTTGAGTGACTTCTGGAGTGCTGACACTTGCAGGCCTCACTTTTAAATCAACTCCCTGGAATTTACCTTTTCTAATATTCCCTATGAGTTTTTTTTTTTAAATATACTCAGCACTAAACCAACTTTTCTACATTGTTCTCTCCAAATGATGAGATGAATGGCAAACATTTGCTTTTCTTCCGTGGTCTAGAATAATTACAGCTAGTCACACAGGTAGAATGTGCCCCTATGATGAAGCCTAATAAAACCTTTGGCTCTGAGACCAGTGGTCTTCCCTAGGCAATCAGCCTTAGCATATGCTGCGGGAGTTCAGTGCTAGAAAAGGCAGCATATCCTGTGCTTGGTGGGTGAATGGTGAATTTTGGAAGCTCACACATGGTCAACATCTGATGTGTCTGTTTTGTTTTTCCATTCAATATTCTCTTATTGTACACACACACCTTCCTCTGTTGTTGTTAGGTGTCGAAGAATCAGTTCTGAGTCATTGTGACCCATGTAACTCCCTCTGGGTCACATAAATGGCTCCAGTGAATCACTAAGTGTAGTCATAAAACAGTTACTTAAGAAAGTAAAAATAGTCTAATCTTAAAAATACAGAACTATGTGCAACCATGCTAGCTATAAGAGAAATTAACCACCACCCCTTAATATGAAAAATATTAAATTTCAACTTACAGTGTAGGGGGAAGGCCGCTCCACAGGGATGAAATGCCCTCACTTCTAGTAATTTTCAAAAAGGCATCCTAAAATTATAATAGAAAATAGTAGTCAAATACAGCCTTGATCATAATACACAAAAAATGCATGACAAAGAAGGCTGGCAGTGAAAGCCCCAAATCCACTTGCAGAGACCCCACGTGGAACAAGTTTCTAATGAATAACCCCAGACCATTGAACAGGGATGTGAACAATTTGGTTCACAGGAAGAGTAAATTTGAAAGTGGATTACTGCAGGTACAGTTTAGTTTAAACTTAATTCTACCATTTTCCCCTTTGACCCATTTTTAACTTATCTCAGTTTTTATTATTTTCTACTTTCTTTTGGAATGAGATTTTTCTGTATTTTATTTTGTTTCTGTTTTTGTTATTTTTTCTTATTCTTATTATATTCTTTATATGAAATCCAGGATAGGTAAACCTATAGAGACGGCAACTAGACCAACAGTTCCTTGGGGTTATGACAGGGGAGATTGTGGGGTAGTGGGATAGGAGATGCTATTCACAATGGATCCAAGAATGAAGAAAATGTTCCCAAACTGACTGTGGCAATGACTGCACAACTCTTTTTGATGTGTTCATTTGAACCACTGGTTTATGTGCTATGTGAATGTCAATAAAATCACATTTTAAAGTACATAGCAATAACTGGTTGGTTATTTGATTCTTTTATACATTTATTGCTAAAATACGTGTCTCAGATTTATGTATGTCTACACATTGGGTTCCCATGAGTCATAAGCAACTCAATGGCAACTTCTTTGGCATTTTTTCATTATTAAAAAAATGAAAATTTTTTTCAACTTTCAAACAAAAGAAAACCCAAACATTTCTGGTGATATTTTCTGCTTACAGAATCAACCCTGAGTTGTTTTACCTAAGGATCCGAAACCAAGCTTCAAAAAAAATTCTTATAAAAACGAAATAAAAGGGTAAGTAAAAAAATACTATAAAATCATATAAACTTTTGTTTAACAAAATTATTAAAATGTGAAGCTGCTACTTCTTTAAAAACCTCCAACTAGGTCTGCCAGTGTTTCCCAAGGGGAGTGCTACCACCCACTGGGGAGCACTAGAATGATCCAGAAAGGCTGCAAAAGTAGATAGCTACACTTTATCTTGGATTATGGGCCACAGTATAAAAAGCTTTATTTGCCAGGGAGGCAACTGTATGCTTTTCAGGGAAAACAATCACTTTGCGATCAGTGGGTAGCTGCAAACAAGTTCTTTTAGTATTCCTTTTATCCTAATCTCATTAGGTTGCCTTCCCCAAAAAGGTCCCATCAGAACCATGGTTTCTGATTGCAAAGTTTTGTTTGGAATAAACAGGAACACGTATGAACTGGAATCCTAGTAGGGATACTTTCTGACTTACCTTCCCAGACCTATTCTGATGCTCACTGCCATCAAGTCAACTGTGAGTCACAGCAAACCACCAGGACAGCAGAACTGCCCCTGGGGGTTTCTGGGGCTCTAACTCTTTGTGGGAGCACACAGCCTCCTCTTTTGCAGAACAGCTCTTGAGTGCCAGCTGCTGACTGTGTGATTAGCCATCACTGTGTGGCCGTGCACTACACTGCTGGGCTCCTGGATAAGGGTCATGCTGAGGTACAGGAGCTTTACGGGTTTGCTGCTTTTGTTTAATAAAGGTATTTATTATTTTGTAGCAACACTGTTTGACTTAACATGGTATGGTACAACATTGCAGCCAGGAAGAATAGTGATGTGGGTACAGTCAAGATTCAGAATAGTTCTGAATGGGGATCCAGAAGGTTCCATTTCCCCTTTTGTTCCCACCCGTTCCCAAATCCCCAATAACCACCATTTATATAATTTCATCATTTCAAGAATGTTATATAAGCTGACTCATAATGTATGTGACATTTTTCTCTCTCTCCCTCCCAATACCAAGCTTACTGGCACCGAGTCCATTCTGCAGAACAGAGCACAACCGCTGCTTTCCAAGACTGCATCTCTTTTTCTTCTATTATCATTGCCTTGTATTATCAACTGGGTTTATTACAAATCCAATCTCTGGAGTCTTTGGAGGTTGGAAACATTACATATAAATTTCCAGATATTATGGCACAGCAAATTACATACTCCATCATTATATGTAATCCACTACTAATGATGAAATACACACACACACACACAATGACTGCACAACTCTTCTTAATATGATTGAAAGGTTAAATTGTATGATGTATGTCAAAAAACAAAGAAAAAGATTAAAGTGTTGGAAACTCATTTATATATGCGTTGGAAGCAAATATACATGTTTGCAGTGAAGTGTAACACAGTTTAGGTGCCCATGCAACCATGTCTACACAAGTTGTTCAGTGACCTTGGTTATACTTTTCACAATGCATGCACACTCTTTAATATTAGTTTAGATGTGTATGTTTTGTTTTGCTGTATGTTTTACATACTATGTTTCCCTTAAAGTAAGTGTTGATCTCCTGGTATCACATAGGTGATTTTTCAAAGAAGCATAGTACTTACAGGTGATAGTCAATAGTTTTTTAGCCATTTGCTATTTAGCTGTGTGGTGATCTCAGGGGTTAGTTTTGATTCAAGGACTGAAGAGTATTATTGGGCAGTAGAAAGCCAAGTCTTGCTTCCACAGAGTGGCCAGTGGATTTGAACTACTGACCTTGTGGTTACCAGCTTGACATAATTCTCTAGAGATTTATCCAGGTTGTTGTATGAATCAATAGCTTATTCCTTTGTTGAGTAAATAGTCCATAATATGGATGTACCACATTATTGGTTTGTTTAACAATTCACCCAATTGTTTTAGTTTAGAAGGAATTAAACTTTGTCTGACTCAAGCCCTAATCTTCTCTGTGGGGGGCTGCAGGCAAAATGTACACCGAGCATCAGTTGCTGCTTTTTTGTCAGGCCCCTGCCTTCCTTTCCAACCAGTATTATGACTGATTTTATATGCATATTTGGGGTCTTAAACCCTGTGAATCTCATTTACTCGATTTCTCCCTTGTTTCTGATTCTGATTCTACCTCTTTCTTCACGTCTCTGTATTCCACCTTGAGTAAATTTGTTGTTGCATGCCACCCAAGCTGTGGGTACACTAGTCTGGTATACCCAGGGCTACAAACACACGATCACACCCATTATAGGCCTCTGAACAGTAGATTTCCCACAAATTCTGCCTGCATTTGGTTCCACTCAACAAATTTCAAACAGTGAGCTCTCATGATAGTTTTCTCAGATTTTGTTTCTAATGAATTACCTGTCATTATTGAATACACATAGACTTGCAAGATGTTATCATTTAGGGCAAATGAGACAAGCAATGCATGAGATACATCTGTATTCTTTTTCTTCTATTTACATGGAATCTACAATCATCTGAAACGGAAGTTTATTTGTTTATTTATTTACTTAAAGGGCAAAGTGGCTGCAACTCTTCATGGGAGTAGAAAGCCTCATCTTTGTCCTGCAGAGCAGCTCGTAGATTGAACTGCTGACCTTGGGTAGCAGCCCCCCTCAGAATCCACTGTGCCACCAGACTTCGATTCGAAACTATTTATCATCATTTCCCACTTTAAATCCTTTCACTCCCCTTGAGTTCAAGAAATACACATGATTGATGAAAGGGGCTACTAAATTTTCTTTCTACATAAAAGCATGAACTGATTAAAACAAAAGTTTAACAAAGACTTAAAAAGCAAAGTATTTTCTTTTTCCTACTTTACTATCAACATTTTAAGTGTGGGTAAGTGTGGTAGCTATCTAAAGGACTTTCATATTACCAAGATGAGACATAAAAATAGAAATCATACTTTGGTTCTAAGTCAAACAATCTCATTACCAGTGTTCCTTGGAAACATCCTGGCTTCTTATACCACGCTTTACTGCCTCCCTCTTCACAGACACACAGGTGATCCATGAGTCCATTACTATACAGAAAGCATTTTCCTAACAAAGAGATGCCAACAGTCAACAATCTGTTTACACAGTTTCATTTAAAGGTGAACAAATTGAAAGTACACTGAGGAGAACAGAAAATTACGAAAAGAGAAATAACCTTGTGAAAAGAGAATTGTACCTGTACTTTAGGATGAAACATAGGAGGGTAAGTAAAAAAGCAGTGCTACAAAAATATGGAAAAGTCTAGAAATCATCATAGCATAAAAATATCAACGTGTGAAACTAGTGTTCCTGGCAGAGACTTCATCTAAGTCTAGACGCTTCTGCAGGGAGTGTCTAGAACACTGCAGTTCGGCAGCCTCGAAGGGCTCAGACCCCATTTCTCTGACAGACAGAGTTTTGGAAACTGAAAACAATATGAAGGCACAAGATCAGGGCAAGACTTTTCTTGGTTTGCTTGTTTTTGGCAAAGAAATATATATATATATATATATATATATATATATATATATATATATATATTTGTGCAATTTGTTTGCTTCTATCGAACTTATTCTAATTTAATTAGGAGATTTAAACTTGTATTTGCACATTTATATCCCAGCCACAGGATATAAATATATATGATCAAAGGAATTGAGAGCTATTCTTTTTTTTTTAACAAACTCACTGTCATCGGGTCAATGCTGACTCATAGCGACCCCTGTAAGTCCTAGACTGTAACTGTTTACAGGACTAGATAGCCCAGTCTTTCTCTGGTAGAGTTGCTGGTGGTTTTTAACTGCCAACCATTCGGCTCACAGTCCAAGAGTAACCACTATACCACCAGGGCGCCTCAAAACTGTAACTCTTTGGGAGTAGAAAGCCCTCTTTTTCTCCTGAGGAGTGGCTGGTGGTTTTGAACTGCTGACCTTGAGGGTAGCAGTCCAACACATAACCATTATGCCAGGACACGATCAGAGGTAAGGCTTTCAATGAAAATCTCATAGGACAGTGCTTGCTAACTTGGGAAGAATAAGCAGGCACATTGTCAAGGTGGGAAAAGTTCCTCAGCATCCATGACTGGCTTTTTTCTCATCAATGCAGTTTTCAATTTCTGAAAACTTCCTTGTAACAAGCCACCGTGATCGTGCTGTGTCCTTTGGAAGAATCTTTCAAGACGACTCCTTTGGGATCCAAAAATAGCAGCCACCATAGCCGTCAGAGCCCACCTCTCATCTTGAAACTCACAGCTCTAACAGATCCCCCAAGCCCCAGACAAGTGTGTTACTGAGAAGACTTGTCTGCAGACATATTTGAATGCATCTTCTTGGGAACAAACTTGTGTATGAACTGCCCTGCTAGTAGCAATACTTTTTGAGTCACCTTCATAAATAAGTAATTTGACTTAACAACAAGGCATCCGGCTCTAAATTCACAGTGGTGGAGAGTAATTTAGTAGTTAGTGGATTTCGCACTTTCAAAACTGTAATAAGCAAATGTACACAGAAACAAATCCTTTCCAGTGATCAAAGTAATAGAAAGGGAAGATAAAATAAGGAAACCTGTTTTAAAAAGACAACATGTACAAATTTCAATAAATAAATTATACTTTGAAATGTTTTCTTCGCAATGTAAACAATGCAACGCATTTTGCCTTTCTTTATATTTGTACCGCTCAGTCTAACCATTCCTCAACCTCTACCTAATTTAATGCTTCTTAAATACCAAGTCCTTCCCATTTATGAACTCATCTTTGCTATCAAAAGTCTTCTGTTTGAATATATATGTAATTCTGTGGATTTCATAATATACAGGCCTAAAAGCCTCCCCTTGATTTGAAGACTTTCTTTAACATGTAGGAAACTGATTTACTTTTCTGTTGCCTTCTACAATCTACCTAGCCTTTCATTCATCTGAAATACACCTATGGTTCATTCCATCCCACAGTTTTCAGTTAACATAGTATCACTTATGAGAGGAAGCTTCAAAAAGTGTGTGGACAACTTCTATGACCTTTTTGAAGCCCCGAGTGCGAGGGCAGTGAACCAATTACTGTGGCTCTGCTAGCCAAAGTGTCTAACTCCCACCAAAGGACTTTTCCCTGAATAGGTCTGGTAAGAAGGGAGGGAAGATCCTGGCAGGATTCACCGGTGAGTAACTATGAAAAGAATTCCCTAGTGTGTCATCCTGCTGCATATACATTGAGTCCTCTGAGAAGGAGGAGGAAGGATTGATCTCATTACCAGCAAGACCCAGAAGTGGAATGGGTTCTCTGGACCCGAGATCCCTGCGAAGAGAAACTCCTGTATCCAAAAGACAGTTATAATAATAAAGCAGCAGCAGCAGAACCAGGAATCAACGCATGGGACAGAGTGGTGGACTTCCCAGCCGACTGAGTAAGTAACGCAGAGTGCTTTTGTGCAGAAGGCTCTTTGTGGAGTGGGGTGCCTCTGGACAGTTAATTCAGTGAATTGGGTTTGTTGACCCATGGAGCTGAAACGGAATCCCTTAAGGTTGCTCTGTGTTCATGCTATTAGCAGAGTGGGATGCCCTTTGAGTATTTATTCGCAGACGACAGAACTTTGTAACAGGTCCTGATAAACAAGTCAACACTGAGCATTTCTCATTGGCAATACTATTTGTTAGCTTCCTTAATAACCCTTTTAATCATGAATTTTGGTAAGTTCTGTGTAGCCATTGCATGGTATATTAGAACCTCTAGAGGTAAAATAACCCAAACCAAACTCACTGCCAGGGACTCTTAGCAACCCTAGAGGACAGGGTAGAACTGACCCTGTGGGTTTCTGAGATTGCAACTCTTTACAGGAGTAGAAAGCTATGTCTTTCTCTGCAGAGTGGCTCATGGTTTAGAACTGCTGACCTTGCAGTTAACATCCCAATGCGTAACCACTATACCACCAGGATTCCTGGAAAGGTAAAATAGAGAACATGAATTAAGACATTACAGTGCCGTTGAGTTGGTTCCGGCTCACAGTGACACCCTTTGTACAATAGGACGAAATTCTGCCTGGCCCTGCTCTACCCTCATGGCTGATGCTATCTATGAGTCTACTGCTGCAGCCATTGTGTGCTCTATCCTCATGGCTGATGCTATCTATGAGTCTACTGCTGCAGCCACTGTGTTTCTCTGTCCTGTTTAAGGTGTTCCTCTTTCTCACTGACCTTCTACCAATCAGGGTCCTTCTCCAGGGACTAGTCCTTGGTAACATGGCATGAGATGAAGTCTCTTCATCCTCACTTCTTAGGAGCATTCTGGGTATATGTTTTCCCAGCCAGATATGTTCAATCTTTAGGCAGTTCATAGTATAGTTAATATTCTTTGCTAACACCATAATTAAAATTAATTAATTTCTTTTACTCGTTGTTCTTATGTCCTTATTTACTGCACAGCTTTCATATGAAACAGAAATGAATGAAAATACTATGGCTTGGGTCAGTACAAACCACTTTAGTCTTCAGAGTTACATCTATGTTTGTTTTGTTTTTTAACACGTTTAGGAGATCTTTTGTAGCAGATTTGCCCAATACAATATGTCATTTGATTTCCTCACTGCTGTTTTCATAAGAGTGGATTGTGGAACCATGTAAAATGAAATCCTTGACAACTCCAAACTTTTCTCAGCTGATCCTGATTTTGTTTATTGGTCCAGTTTTGGGAATTTAGGTTAAGGTGTATCCATATGAAAGGCAGGAGTCTTTGGTCTTCTCAGCCAGTGCTTCAAGTCCTCTTCAATTTCAAGAAACAGAATTGTGTCATCTGCATATCAGATTGTCATTCCTGATGTCACATCTCCTTCAGGTGGTCCAGCTTCTCATACTATTTGCTAAGCATACAGACTAAGTGCAGTGAAAGGATACTACCCCAATACACACTGTTCCTGACTCAGTATTTCCTTGTTTTGTTTGAACAATTACTTCTTGGTCTATGTAGAGGTTCTTCATGAGTATAATTAAGTGGTCTGGAAGTCCTATTCTTCAGGAAGCTAACCGTAGTCTGTTTCTATCCATATAGTCAAATGCCTTTGCATAGTCAATAAAACATAAAGAAACATCTTTCTAATGTTCTCTGCTTTCAGCCATCATCTATTTGATATTAGCAAAGATATCCTTCATTCCACATCCTCTTCTAAATCCAGCTTAAATTTCTTGCATCTCCGTGTGGATGGACTCCTACAACTATTGTGAGTCACTGTCAGCACAGTTTTACTTGTATATGATATTAATGATATTGTTAGATAATTTTCTAATTCTATTGGATCACTTTTATTTGGAATGGCACAAATATGGATCTCATTTCATGGGATAGTTGAGTTATTTATACAAACATTATTTGTGATATATTTCTTTTCTATCTACACCTCATCATGTGCAACTAAATGATTAAAAACAAACTTCTGCATAAAGACACAGAGGCATCATTTTTTATGAAACAACAAAGTAAACACTATTCAAAAAAATGAATGCATTTGCATTTTGAAATCTAATATAACATTCTCTGGATAACTAGTATACATACCTTTAGTGAATTGGCTGCTTTGGGCTTGGAGTCGAATTTTAATAACATCCATAGGTGTCACTATTAAAATACATAAATTTCAGTTAACAAATGATACTTGTAAGCTGGGGAGTCCCTGAGTGGTTGAGAGAATTACACTTAACAACTTACTGAAAGGTCAGCAGTTCAAACCCACACCTATTGGTGCCTTGAAAATTTGGCCTGGTGATCTATTTCTAAAACCTCACAGTCGTGAAAACCCTATGGAACAGCTCTATTCTGCACACACAAGGTAACCAATGAGTCAAATCTACTCAATGCTAACTAACAACAACAAGACCCACCTGTCAACTAGATTAAAACCAATTTCTGCTATGAAATTGGTTCTAATCACAGGGACCCTATAAAGTGTCTGTGAGGCTATACATGTTTATCAGAGCAGAAAACTTCATCTTTCTCCTAAAATTATATATAAGTACTCCCAAATAGCACAAAATGCATGAGATCATACATTTCCTCATACTACATGAATTGGTACCAAACTGAGAAATATTAGGTCCCATTTTTTATCTTAAAGTGGTCTTGAATGTAATGTTCTATTAGTTTTCCCTTGAATTTTGCTTAAAGAGGACAAATGAGATGACAGAACTCTCATACTAAATTGTTACTAAAAATATTTGTTCAACTAAAATACGATTAGCCTAAAACTAAAATATTAGTATTTACAATAAATTGTAAGATGTCTAAGGTTAAGAAATAGAAGCTTTAAAATTATATGTAAATATTTGAGAATTATTGTAGATTGTAAGTAGCCAAAATCAAATGGTATTTGTCTTCCTAATCTATTAAATTGACTTCTACCAAATAAAAGATATAATGCAAATTTGGTAAACCAATCAAAACCAAACTCACTGCCATCAAGTCAATTCTAACTGATAGGGAACACATAGGACAGAGCTGTTCCTGTGGGTTTTGAGGCTATTAGCCTTTGAGGGAACAGAAAGTCTCATTGTTCTCCTTCAGAGTGGCTGGCGGTCTTGAACTGCTGACCTTTTTGGTTACCAGGCCAACTCATAACCCACTATACCACCAGAACCCCATAATTAGATAAAATTAGCCATAAATTATCTTTATCACTAGGCTGTATTATTTTGTTTGTACACTATAGCAGAAGAGAATAGTTTTTAAAAGTATGCTATATCTGATCCAAATAGAAAAAAAATGTTAAATAGTTCTGAGAAAACCTTTCCTCCCCTGCTAAGGACATCACATTTGGTGATCTTTTAAGGGTTTTTTAAATCTTAAAATTCTGAGCTGAAAAAAAAAAAATTCTGAGCTGAAATAAGACATTGTGTTATAAAGGAATTAATACACGTTTTCTCTAATCCTTTCATGTTATTTAAATTAAATAGTTATTTTAATATCATTAAAATATCACATACTAATTATACTGTAAGTTGGCTGTTTCTGAGAAGTAGGAGGAGGGATCTCATTACCAGCAAGAGCCAACAATGTAGTGGGTCTGGACCTGAGATCTCGGTACAATGAACCTCCTGGATCCAGAAGACAGCTGTAACATCAAAGAAGCACTAACTATCATTAGCATATTATACCCTAATTATACCAGTGGCTGTTTCCACAAGAAATTGGAAAAATTTGGTTAGAAAATTTTAAGAAATTCGCTGTCAATGCAAAGTAAAATATAATCTGTATTATTGTGAGTTGTCCTAAATCTATATAATTCACTTTGGTAAATTTTTCCCTATCTTTATGTTTACTTTTTTTAAAGAGCATAACAAGAGTTATCAAATGTTAATGTTGACAGAGATCTCAAACTCCTTATCTGAGCTCCAAATTTTATGGATGGAAAATAAAGTTCAGCGATAACAAGTGCCTATCCTCAAGGCGGGGAGAAAGAGAGAGCTTTCTAGTTACAGGAAAGAGTAACAGTCTTAGAAACCCACAGAGGCTCTCTACCTGTCCTATAGGGTTGCTATGAGTTGGCATTGACTCAACACTAAGAATGGGCAAGCAAAGACTTTAAATAAAGTCCGTTGACTCCCTGTCCAGGAGTCTCCCCTGTTATCATTCTGATACAGGAAGAAAATACTCTCACCACTATTTCACAGATGGCAAAATTCAAATGAAATAATTGGGTCATTCGGGTTATAGAGTCTGCGTATATTGTAGCATGACTTTACTTATTAGTGAGGTCAGCAGAGCTCCTGTGCAAGAGGCAACCATTTGTTGAAGAGGCGTCACTTTGTCCGCGGGTACTGCTACTTCAGGGTCCATATTTTTAAATGACTGAAGAAAAACCTGTTTAAAAAGCAAAAACAATATAAACTAAATGTAATGAATAAAAATTGAGTTTAACGAGAAATTCCTTCAAAATGGACTATTAAAGTTAAAATAAAAATCATCATTATTATCAAAGAATATTTTTACCATTATCAAATGTACATATATAAATTTTGACTACAAAGTATCATGAAACAGTCATTAATAGAGTATAGTCTCTAATCTTCCAATAATGGGAATATACTCCAGCTAAGCTGTCAGAACAGCCTCACATCTGTAAAGCTCTAATAAAGAATTAAAGAAACATGTATAACCAACATGAAAAGCAACATGGTGATAGCTCAAATAACTAGGAATAGGAATTCTGTACAACCAGCCATACCTCTGCTAAGTATTTACCCAAAAGAATGCATAGCCATAATACAAACAGACCTATGCACTCCCATGTTGATCACAGCACAGTTCACAATAGCAAGAGGTTGTAAATAGACCAAATGCCCATGAACAGATGAATGGACGAAAAAAAACTTTGGTGCATATACAGAACAGAATACTATGCATCCCTAAAAAGCAATGATGAAACCATGAAGCACATCATGACATTGATGGACCTATAGATCATTGTACTAATTGAAGCTAATCAATCACAAATAAACAAATATTGTATGAGACTTCTACTCTAAGGATTTTTTAAAGGCAAAGACTGGCATATCAAAGGGAACAGACTTTGGAGGTCACAGGGAACTGGAGGGTAGCAAAGGGGTAAGATGAAATAATGGAATAAAAGGCTGATAGGTGCTGACTTGGGTGAACCGAATGGGAGAAGAGAATTCTGAGGAAAGGGGTATGGTTTAGAATCGGCGGGTGGAATGATGAGTGGTTTGAACTGTTGAAGGTCAAGCTGATGGTCTGAAATGTAAACCTCTCATATATTAAAAAAAATTTTTTTTAAAGAATCCAAAGATCCTAGTCATGTAATAGAAATAAGTATAAAAAAGGCACAGAATCTGTGAGTTTAGCCCCAGAGTAATGCAAATACAGCATTATTTTTATTTATTAATAAAATTGAAACATCATCTTAGAAAAACCTGATGAGAAGAGTAATATATACTTTTCTAGAAAGTTCAATTATTTTAAAAGCCTGAAAATTACTTATAAGCTTATTATTTTAAAATAACCATTGGAAACATGAGTGTCATCTTTCCAGATGTTTATGTGCACAGACAGGCGAACACATAATGCAGATTACATCTATTATACATATTCATCAAACACATATACACACTTACGTATCTGCATACTCATGTTTTGAAAAATAATATATTGATACTATACATGTTGTTTACTAGCCTGCTTTGACATATAAAGATATATTATAGACATCCTGTTTCAATAAATGTAGATGTGTATCGGCATAAAAGAGGAAGACCCTCAATGAGATGGACTGACACAGTGGCCGCAACAATGGGTTCACACACAACTATCAGGATGGCATAGGACCAAGCAGTGTTTCTCTCTGTTATACAGAGTCCCTGAGCCAGAACTGACACAATAGCACCTAACAACAACAACAATGTTGTCACTGCTAATGATGGTTTAATATTTAATTATGTAGGCCTGAGGGTGCAGTGGTTAAGCATTAGTGGACTAACTGAAAGGCTAATGGTTTGAACTCAATAATAGATTCATGAAAGAAGAGATCTGACATTCTACTTCCATATAGATTATGGCCTAGGAAACTTAAGGCACATAAGAATTAAACAGTCTCATATTGTCAATTATTTAGGCTATTGACAGTTTTCAATTGTAAACCATTCTTATATAAATATAAGCGTACCTGGTTTAAGTCTTTTCCTCAACTCTATGCTCCAATATTTTATTGTCTGTAACATTAGTAACTGAAAACCTGGAATGAAAAAAAATAATGTTTTAAGACAATTAAAGGACAAGCATTATGGAAAAGAGTATATAAAGAAACTTTCAAACACCAATCTGTAAATATTTATTGAATGCTTTCTACTGAGTGTTTTGAGGAATATGAAGGGCACTCTACAAATCCTAGCCCTAGTTATAGAAGCATTTTCACAAAAAGTGTATGCTATCCCAGTTAGTTATGATTAGCTACCATTGGATCATCCTCCAACTCTGCTTAAAAAACAAACAATAGAACAATGAATTGCTCCATTTAGCATCATTAGTAGTGGAACACCTTGACTTTATGACAGAAAATGAATTAAGGCTGTTATAGCATTTCAGCCTTTAACACTGTGGTATGAATCTCCTCAGTGCTCTGTTGGCTCAAATGGTTAAACACTGCTGGTAACTGAAATGCTGGCAGTTTAAACTCACTCAGTTTTTCATAGAACAAGGACTTGGTGGTCTGCTGGGACAGCTCTGCCCTGCCCTATGGGGTCACTATGCATTGAAAATGACTCAGTGGTACAAAACGAGCAAACATGAGGGTGGTGCAGGATTGGGCATAGTTCTGCTCTATTATTTATAGGGCCACAGACTCCTGAAGAGCAGCAACAAAACTAGCTCTATAGGTAAGAGTGTTACACCTGCATTTGTCTGATTCTTTTCTGTGACATATTTTTACCTTTTTCCTCTATTGTCTGATTTTCTTATAAATTAGAAGATCTAAATAATTGTGCAATTTTCATATTGAATCCCTTCTCTCCTTGCTATTTAGTAGATAGATGATGGTGCTTTTTCTAGTCAGTTATGACTCATAGAGACACTATGTACAAGAGAACAAAACATTGCCCAGTCTTGTGCCATTCCCATCTGAACCCATTATGCAGCCACTGTGTCAATCTAGCTCCTTGGTAGGCTCCTCCATTTTGCTGACCCTCTACTTTCCCAAGCATGATGTCCTTGTCCAGGATGATCTTTCCTGATAACATGGTTTAAGTATGTGAGACAAAGCCTCATCAGGCTTATCTTTAAGGAGCATTCTAGTTGTACTTCTTCCAAGACAGATTTGTTTCCTGCCCTGGAAATCCATGGTGTTCTCAATATTCTTCACCAATACCATAACTCACATACACCAATTTTGCTCGGTTCTAATGATTGCCTCTTGGTCTAGGTAGAGGTTCCACGTGTGTACAATGACGTGTTCAGAACTTTCCTTCTTCTCAGTGTTATCTGCAGTTTGTTATGATCACACAGTCATGCTTTTGAACAGTCAACAAACACAAGTAAAGACCTTACTTATATTCCCTGATTCCAGAAAAGATCTATCCAGTGTCAGCACTGACATCCTCTGTTCCATATCCTCTTCTGAATCTAGCTTTAATTTCTGGCAGCTACTTGTGAATGTACTCCTGCAATTATCTTCAGCAAAACTTTACTCACATTTGATATTTATGATATTGTCCAATTATTTCCACATTCAGTTGGATCATCTTTCTTTGGAATGGATCTCTTCCAATCAGCTTAAGCATATACAATAGATAGGTAAGGTTGGTTAGGAGTTGTCTCAGATGAGAGTTGGCTAGCAAATCAGGGTGAGTTCAGCAGATCAAGTCAATATAAGATCAACACAATATAAGAGAAGAATTAAAAATGAGAAATAAGCAAGATAGGAGAGTCAGAATTTGAGAGCCAGTCCCTCTAAGAAATACAACATAGAGGCTATTAGGGCACGAAGTTCAGAAGTTAGAATTTAAGTCCTGAGCTAGATTATTAACTTCTTGATGGTAGTACTAAACACATAATGGACCATGGTCATTAAAAAAAACAAAACTACCTACTCCCCATTTTACACTTTATTTTCTGGATAATTGAAAAGGAGGCTATATTTTTAGATCTCATAATGAGATACAGGTAATGGGTTTATGCAACTTTTCTAAAATAATATATGTTAAAAAAATCATCCACTTGATGTCACTGAGTTTGGATGTTATGAAATGGTAATATATAAAAAAAAAGTCCACTACTGTATATGCTTAAGCTGAAAATCTAAGAACTTAACCTTGGAAAAGCCTTAGGAATGCCACTGTTGTCACTTTGAAGACTAAGGTACACTAGACCCAAGACATGGTTTTTCAATGGCCTCAGCTGTATCTGAAAGCTGGACAGTGAATAAATTAAACCACATTAATAACTGATGCATTCGAATTCTGGTGATGGGGAAGAATACTGAAAGTACCAAGGAATGCAAGAAAAAATCTGTCTTGGAAAAAGCAAAGAAAGCTCCTTAGAAACCAAGATAGTGCGACTTCTTCTCATATACTTTGTGACTGTAATCAGGAGAGGCCACTATCTGGGAAAAGACATCATGCTTGGCAAAAGGAAAGGTCAGAGGAAAAAAAGGAAGATCCTCAAGAAAATGGAGACACAATGGCTATAACAATGGGCTCAAACTTCACAACAGTTGCAAGAATGGCAAAGGATAGGACAGTGTTTTATTGTTGTACATAGGGTCAGAACCAATTTGATGGCATGTCATTACAAGCCAATGTGCCAAGATAATGAGACTATAAAATGTGAAAATTAATGACTATCAATGAAACACATTTAAGAATCGAGTAAGAATCAGAAATAAAGGTAGATCCTAAGCTAGATTTACTATGGATAGAGAAAAGAACAACTGCTAACCAAATGGAGATGCTTACAGCAAAAGATGGAAAATGAAAGGGAAAGTACTACAGAAGAATGAGTAAAATGAGGAGCTAATTCCAGGAACCCAAGCAGAAAGCGAATTTTGAGAATGATGAGGGCAACAAATGTATAAGTGTGCTTTGCACAATTGATGTATGTATGGATTGTGATGAGTTATATTAGCCCCAATAAATGATTTTTAAAAAAAGAATGAGTAAATCAGTTTTCAGCACTCTATATATACATATACACATATATGCATATATATGTGAGACTAAGCAGGTATTAGCTTCACCAAAAATGAGGAAAATCTAGCATAGGAAGTGTAATATTTACCCAAGGTCATAAAATGACTCAGGGATACAACCAGTATTGAATCAAATTCCTTTCTCTTGATTTACTGCCAAATGCTTATTTTAATTAGACCGTGATTCTGCATAAAGTTCTCTGGTATTGCTTAAGAAAATTCTGTAATCAACTTTTCACCACAAATAACCTTTCCCCTTGTCATTCTTTCTTGTACATATTCCCTTCATCTAAAGAACTCTTCTGGGTGTATGTTTTCAAAATCTGTTTAATAATAAATTTATAATTTTACCAAATTACTGATATTTTATATAAGGATATGTCTATCCTTACTGGCCAAAAGTATATAACCAAGCCCCTTTTTGATGGCTTCTAAAAAATTGGATACTAAAAAAAAATTCTCAAAATATTCATTTTCTCAAAATGAATGATTAAAAATAGTATTTCTCAAAATTAACCACAAGTTACAGCTACAATTTTTTTTTTGCTACAAATTTATTAACATGCTCTAGTAATATGGCTGACTTTCTGCTCAGGGAGATCTTGGCATTATCAACTAGAGTGTAGACAAGGTTGTGCTAAAAGCATTGTGTAGAAAAAAGACCTCATTGCTGTTGAGTCCATTCCAACTCTTAGCAAGCCCATATAGAGGGGAAGAATTTAACTGCCCCTGTGGGTTTCCGAAACATATAAAGATCCAACCTTCTCGACACAGTGGGAGGGCTTGCTTTACCTGACTTTAGCACATACTATACAGCCACAGTTGTCAAAACCTCATGGTACAGTGACAGATACTCAGACCAATGGAAAAGAACTGAAAACCCAGAAATAAAATCATCAGCATACAGACAACTGATCTTTGATAAGGGCCCAAAAAATGGTGCTGGAAAAAATGGATATTTACCTGCAGAAAAGTGAAGCAAGACCCTTACCTCACTCCATGCACAAGAATAAACTCAAGGTGGATCACAGACCTTGAAGTTAAACCCCAAACTATTAGGGCCACCAATAAGGGAATTGGGACCAACTTGAGAACTTTGGCACAGGGAATACATAGGCTATCAGAAATAGGAAAGGACACAAACACAGAGGAGGCACAAATTGACAAATGGGATATACTGAAGAGAAAACACCTGTGTACATAGGAAGAATTCACCAAGAGAGTACTAAGAGAGTCCACGGACTGGGAAAACATCTTTAGCAATGACACATCAGACAAAGGTCTTATTACTAATATCTACAATACACTGCTAGCTACCAAAAAGAAAAAAACTAATTGCCCACTGAGGTGGGCGGCAAAGGACCTGAACAGAAGTTTCACAGGAGCAGAAATCCAAATGACCAACAAACTTACGAGAAAATGTTCCCGATCTTTAGCCATAAGAGAAATGCAAATTAAAACAACAATGAGGTACCACCTAACACCTTCAAAGATAGCCCAATTCAAAAAATCAGAAAGCAACAAATGTTGGAGGGGCTGTGGGGAGACAGGAACTCTCATCTACTGCTGGTGGACCTGTAAGTATGTACAGCCACTATGGAAATTGATCTGGTGATATCTAAAACAGATGGAAATTGAGTTACCATACGACCCAGCAATCCCCCTGCTGGGCATATACCCAGAAGAGGAATGAAACAAACCACAGCCAGATACCTGTGCTCCAATGTTCATTGCGGCACAGTTCACAATTGCAAGGAGTTGGAAGCAACCCAAATTTCCATCAACTGACGACTGGATTAAAAAGCTGTGGTATATACATACAATGGAGTACTATGCATAACTAAAAAGCAGGGATGAACATATGAAGCACATCACTGCATGGGAAGAACTGGAGGAAATCATGCTAAGTGAAATAAGCCAAGCACAAAAGGACAAGTATATGAGTCCGCTGAGGTAAGCTTCAAAAAAAAAATGCAAAAGGGGCATAGGGAAAAAGCTTCTGTATGCAAACATTCCTGGGGTGAGGACCAGGTAATATGGCAGGGGCCAGACCAAATACAGGGATACACATGGTAGACAACTAAAAAGGAGGTGGGGAAAGGAAAAAATAATAATTATAAAAAAGGGAATGCAGGGCGGATGATCCCTTCAGGACCAGTGGTATGAGAGGGAGAGTGGGTTGATAAGGGGGAACCAATTACAAGGATCTACGTGTGACCTCCTCCCTGGGATGGACAACAGAAAAGTGGGTGAAGGGAGATGTCATACAGGGCAAGATATGACAAAATAATACTTTATAAGAGTAAATGTTTTTAGAATGATGAGGGCAATGAATGTATAAATGTGCTTTACACAACCGATGTATGTATGGATTGTGATAAGAGTTGTATGAGCCCCTAATAAAATGCTTAAAAAAATGCAAAGAGAAAAAAAAAATCCAGCCTTCCCTTCCCATTGTTAGGCTTCCCTACCTTGGCACACACCTAAATATGTCTCACTTCAAGCCCATAAATTTTAGCTAGGCCCTACCTTCACCACCTTCACTGGAGAAAACGTAGATTGTCTATGCCTACGTCTCAGAAACCCACAGGGGCAGTTCTACCCTGTCCTATAGGGTTGCTGTGAGTCAGAATCAACTTGATGCCAATGAGTTTGGTTTTGTTTTTACCTTCACTAGTTACTGAAATTTCACTGAGAAAAACCAGTAACATTCTAAATACCAAAATCAAAAGTCCATTTTTCAAGTAATAGAGAGGTCTTATGCCAGGTATAGTGTAATAATTGAATAAAACTTATGAAAATTATACATTTTATCTTTATAACAGTTTGAAAAGTATTATTACCCCCCTCTCACAAATTCAAATTAAGGCTCAAAATTACCCAAGACCATACAGTCAGTTAAGCCTGTATGATTATGTTGACATAATCTTATACACAAACAAGTGGAAACAGAGATCTGTTTTCACATACTGGCAATTTCCTGTGAATTCTGAAGATATATTTTGTTCCCAGTTTCCTTTCAAATTCTCCAAGCTTTACATCTATTTCACTATTTCACCATCCTCTACGCATCACTACTTCCTTATTTCACATTATCATCTGGACAATTTAATTTGCTCCCATATTTACAATTACATTCTATTATCATATTATTGTTTCTCAGGCTTTAAAAAAATTATAAACATCCCTCAATAAAATAATTTTTAAAAAAAAGAATAATGAGGGTAACAAATGTACAAATGTGCTTTATACAATTGATATATGTATGGATTGTGATGAGTTTTATGAGCCCCCCAATAAAATGCCTTAAAAATTATAAACATGTCTTGTGATTGCTCTGAAGTTCATATTTTTAATAGATTTTGACAACGAAATATTAAATGTTTGTTCAAATCAACCTCCTCCTTCCTCTCAAGATCTGATGACCTCTTCTGTCATCTGAGAATCAGTACTGAGTCTATATATCTTAAATCAATCTTTCACTGTTTCTCCCTCTCTCTAGCTCAGAATGCAGATAACTTCAGCTGTCTAATTTCATGATCGTCTCCCCATACCTTGGAAACAAAGCAATCATTTCCCTCAGTAAACCTGATCCATTTCTTGTGTTCTGCACTTTGGCTATCAGTCTACCTTGGTCAATGTTTTAAGGGTTTTATTTGCAAAAGGATGGTACTAACACTTAACTTTCTTGGGCTACTATGTAAAAATCAACCATTAAACAGTGCTTATTAGAGCAATGAGTTATTATGGAATACAAAATAGTACAACATACCATCCTAGTCCTCCTTAGGGAGTTTACAAGCAAAACAACTTCCCCAATTTTGTGTCTCTCTCTGTATGTGCAGCATTTTCCCATTTACAAAGCACTCGTAAATATTTTAAATTCTTACATTAGTATTATCATTCCCGTTTTACAAATCAGAAAACAGAATCAAAGTGATTAGGTAATGTCTCATTACCCAACCAAGTGATTGATCCAGAATCCAAACCTCTGGACTTGAGATGTCAAATCCCACTCCCTCTCGTTATGTTGACATCTCCGTATACAGAAATAAATGAAAACAGAAGCCTGTGCATGACAGGCGTCAAAGTAGCACGCCACACAGTCAAGTGACAAAGGGCATGAGCCCAGGCCCCTCTGGGTGCTCTGTTCCCGTCGAGGCCGTGGGCTGCCGGGCGGGACTCCGGCTCTCCCGCCCCCACGTCTCTCTCAGCCCCGTTGTCCCCTGCGGCCTGTCCTCAGTTGGCGGGCTCAGGTGCGATCGCGGGAAAAGCAAGCTCTGCCACCCGATGCGCCCTGAGCAGGGGTCACCGCGGTCGGCCCCGGCCCGGGCCCTGGGCCCAGACTGCGAGGGCTGCAGCCCGAGCGAAGCCTCCGGGACCGCGGCCAGTGGGAAATAGGCGTACCCGGTGGAGGAGGCGACCATGGGGCGCGCGATGCCGACAATTCTAAAACACGGGAACGAGACCGGTGGCAGGATAGCCAGGCCTCCAGCACCAACTGCATCCACTGGGATTGGCCGTCAGCAGGACCCCCGAAGGCTGCGGCAGGACCGAAGCGCGGGGCGGACTCAGCCGGGGTCAGAGCGCAGAGGGCAATCAACACGCCAGGAGACCAAGAGGGCGGAGACGCGACCAGTGGGGGCGGAGTCCCGGAGCGAAGGGGCGGGCACGAGGGGGCGGAAGAGCGGCACGAGGAGGCGGGCACTAGGGCCCCGGGCGCGCGCCGGAGGAAGCGGGCACGAGAGGCTCGCGGCTAGGAGAGCGAGGAGGCGTGCACGACGGAGGCGGGGCCAGGGGAGGCGCGCTCGAAGGGGCGGGGCGCCGCGCGCAGCGTGAGGGCGGGCGGGGCGCGCGTAGAGGCGCCGCGGCTGCGTGACGCGTTTTCAAATCTTCAACCGCCGCGGCCCTCTCTCCGGTGCTTTGCTCTTCTTCCTCGGCGCCTGGAAGCCAGGTCCGACCCCGGAAACTCGGTCGGAAGACTCGGCCTCACCACCGCACCTCGGTCGTCGTTGGCCGCGGAAGGTTCGAGGCCAAGTCCCTGTCAAAGGACAAGGAGAGCCGTGTTTTCGCGGCCGCCCGGCTGTCCACCATCTCCGGACCCAGTATGTAGGTGCCGGGCGGCTGCCATGAACTCTGGAGCCATGAGGATCCACAGCAAAGGACATTTCCAGGGTACGAAGCCCCTCCTCCGCCTGCAGGCCATTTTCATCTCACCTTCCTTAATGAGTGCTCCATTGGTTCCTTAAAGCGTCCACTTCTCCTTTCGTGCTAGTGCGCCGTTCGCCCTCTGTGCAGACCAGCCTTCCGTCCACGGTTTGCCTCACAAAGGGCCCGAGGCCGGACCAGGCCCCGGGCGCGGAAGCTGCGAGGAAACAATGTGGGCACCCCAGAACTCGGGGGCTGCCGACGCCCCGCAATTTCAGTACAGAAGGGCGCTTGTGGCTTTTCCCCTCGTGCACGGATGGGGCGGCGGGGTGGGTGGGTGTGTGTATTTTGGGTCTTTTGTGAAGCTTGTTTTCCTGCGCTCATAAAGTTTAGGAGTAGTGTATTTCAGACACAGTCCCAACATTATGGACAACTCGGGAAACAAGCAAATTTCCATTTCCTAGGGCTGACTTGAAGTATTCCAGCCCCCGCTCCCTATGTTTTTCTTTTTTATATGGCGCTTCCATTTACGAACAGATTGAGCTCACAAGTGATTTTAAAACAGTTCACGTTTCTCGGGTTTGTGTTCAGTGGAAATAAGAGTGAATGGTTCTTCAGTGAACCTCCGTGCTTCCTAACATATGGACAAACGGTAGATGAAACTAAAACTTGAATCGTGAGCCCTGGAGGGCCAAGTTCATTCTGAATAACAAGATTTTGCATATCTAGGTGTTATAGTATATTAGTTTTGAGTTTTCGACAGGATAGCAGATTCTCAACTATTTGTAACATGAATACACCCGTGGAATTTGCATTCCAAGGAGGGAAATGTTTATAAAATGTTTTGTGTAATTCTCTGCCTTCGTTAAAAAAAAAATACTTCCTCCTGATTGAAACTCATTGTAAAAAATAATGTAGAACCTCTTAAAATGTAAAAGGCTTTTTGCCTTTATCCCAAGTAGTACTTTAATATATTGAAAAGCTCACTACAAAATCCAAACCCACGGTCCTCGAGTTGATCCTGACTCTTGACTGTTAACTTGGTAAACTTTTAAGACATTCCCTCCCATGATGCTCTCTGTGAGTTGGTATTGACTTGACGGCAGTGAGTTTAATTTTTCTGAGTTTGTGATATGCTTATTGTACAGTATTTTTTAAACTGACCTTTTGTTTGTATAAAGCATGATTTAAGTTGAAACTTTTTAATAACAGGTGGGATCCAAGTCAAAAATGAAAAAAACAGACCGTCTTTGAAATCTCTGAAAACTGACAACAAACCAGAAAAATCCAATAATAAGCCACTTTGGGGAAAAGTATTTTACCTTGACTTACCTTCTGTTGCAATATCTGAAAAACTTCAAAAAGACATTAAGGATCTAGGAGGGGTAAGTCAAAACCATATACATATACTTTGACTAAAAAAGGTCTGGGAGTGCTACTAGTACTTTTAAATGCAGCAGTACATACACAATCATTTTGGAAAACTTGTAATTAGCCCAAGTTTAAAATTGTTACCAGTTCTTGTTATTGGTAAGGCGGGTAATGGGGGAAGATCTTTGTAATTTGTAGTCTAATGTAAAGCTCCCAAACTTTTAGAAACAAAACTCCCATATTCTAGTAGAACCAATGATTGTTACTTTGGTAAAATGCTGGCGTGTCCTCCAGGCAGCAGGAGCTCCTTGATATTAGCTTTTGAAGATTTAGTTACAATAGACTCCATGACCATGAGTTTGGCTTGGTTTGATATAAATTTGATACAAAAATATAAGCAGCACTTGTATAACAATAAGCATGTTGTTAGCCCAAGTTTAAAATTGTTACCAGTTCTTGTTATTGGTAAGGCGGGTAATGGGGGAAGATCTTTGTAATTTGTAGTCTAATGTAAAGCTCCCAAACTTTTAGAAACAAAACTCCCATATTCTAGTAGAACCACTGATTGTTACTTTGGTAAAATGCTGGCGTGTCCTCCAGGCAGCAGGAGCTCCTTGATATTAGCTTTTGAAGATTTAGTTACAATAGACTCCATGACCATGAGTTTGGCTTGGTTTGATATAAATTTGATACAAAAATATAAGCAGCACTTGTATAACAATAAGCATGTTGCTACAGGACACAGAAAAGCAGTTCAAATCATAGTGTTAAAATTGCTTTAAGGCAGTGGTTCTCAACCTGTGGGTCATGACCCTTTTGGGGATCGTCCGATTCATAACAGTAGCAAAATTACAGTTATGAAGTAGCAATGAAAATCATTTTATGGTTGGGGAGTCACCACAGCATGAGGAACTGTATTAAAGGGTCATGGCATTAGGAAGGTTGAGAACCCTTGTTTTAAGGGATATGCTCTTAACAGAAGGAATGTGTATATAGGGGAACAGAATTCTGTGTTAAGAATCTACAAAATTCTACTTCTGTCTTACATTGCACATTGATTGGATTGTTGTTGTTTCTGTTAGGGGCCAATGATTTTGAACACATATCAACCTTATGTGGCAGAGTAGAACCGCCTGCAGGTTTTTCTATACTGTGCTCTTTATGGTAATAAGTCTTTGTCCTTGAGTTGCTGCGTGGGTTCAAACTGCCAATTTTTTGAGTAGTGGCCAACCATTTAAACCTTTGTGCCACCGGAGCTCCTTGATTATATGATTAGGAAGTTATGAAATTTGGGCAAAATTCTGAGAATTTTTTTAAGATCAAGGGTAATCTTGGATGACCTTTATTAAGTAAGACTATTATGATTTTATTAATGTGTTGTCTTTTTAAAAGACTTTTATTTTGCTGGACTTCCCTAAGTCAACATCTTGGAGTAAATGTTTTCTGAGGAGATTCTTCAATTACAAATTAGAAATTATCTGGAGAATATATAACAAGTTTCCTGGAATTTCTTTATTTACCTTGTCTTTGAAGTCATTTTAACTACATTTTGCTATTAGTTTTTGTTAAAACTAAAGCTTTCCTGTGTGCTTGTAAAAACAGTAACAGGTATCATAATGACCATATGGATGTATTCCTAATTGGTTGCACTACCATTCAAGGGTGTCTTTTTTTTTTTTTTTTCAAGGGTGTCTTAATCTGGGTATAGACCTTCATTTTAGAATTGAAGTGCTGAGGTCCAGAGATATTAAATGATAGCCCTAATCAAAGCATGATTGATCTTTTGGTTCCCACACTAGCATAGCATTACTCCTTTCTGTTCTTCTAGCTACGTACACAAAGTTAACTGTTTTATGTAGTTTGACAGCCTTTTCAAAATTGATGAATCACCGACTATTTTTTTAGTCAGTAATTTTTAGATTTGTGTGACTGAGGTTCAAACATAATTGATAGAATGGCACAGGACCAAGTGGTGCTTCGTTCTGACATACATGGGGTCACTAAGAGTCGGAGTCAACGCGACAGCACCTAACAACTACAAATTGTTTGACCAGTGAAATTCGTCTTAAAACCTCGTACCTAGAAGTCCTACGCATGAAGACAGGGAAACTGCTGTACCGAAAGACTCGTGGAGTCTGGAACTGCTGTCTCTGCCTCTCCACCCATCCCAGTACAGTTATGGAGGGCCTTCCAAAACACCAAATTTTAAATTACCTGTCCAAGATAGGATTTTCAAAATTTTTTATTCTAAAATGGTTTCAAATGGACCAGTGAAATTAGGGAAACATATGATCAGTAATAGTTTTCAGATTTTCTTGCAAAACTGAATTTTTGACTGAATTTGACTTAGAAACTTTACTGAATTTCTCTTTTTAAAAATAATATATCAGATTGTGACACAGCATTATCTTCACTGAAATTCGATGATGTATATTCCCTAGGTCCTGTTTTCTTTCTCTAGTACATAAACTATAAAGAAAAATTGATCTCTATATACTAAGAATACTAAGATTAAACTTTAAGAAATATTAATTTAGTAATTTCTTGAAATCGTTTTTCATGTTAAATTTGAATTTTATTTTAAAGTACATAGGTCTATCCTTTTTATCATTTGCCTTGTTCTTCCCTCAACTCTTGTGTCAATTTGTCATACTGTGGTAGGTTTGATGTTGCTGTGATGTTGGAAGCTATGCCACCTGTATTTAAAATACCAACAGGATCACTTATGGTGAACAGGTTTCAGCAGAGCTTTCAGAATAAGACCAGACTAGAAAGAAGAGGCTGTTCACTCTGAGGGATCAGCTACTGCAAACCTATGAATAGAAGCAGAACGCGGTCTACTGTATGTACCAGAAGATAGATGACCCCCTCAGATTAGAAGACTTGCAAAATGTTATTGAGGGAAAAGCTGCCTCTCAAAGAAGAGTTGACCTTAATGATCCAAAAGGAACAAAGCTATCAGGACTTTCATGCACTAACACTAACTGGAAATTCATCCCATCAACTTGATGCCTAGTCATAGTGACCATGCAGAATAGGGTAGAACTGCCCCTATGAGTTTCTGAGACTGTAAGGCATGTCGAAGAACAAAGAGTTGCAAACATCCATTAATCTTAATGTGGCATGTAGGCAGTATGAATTTAGTTGATGTCCTGGGTAGCAGTGAGTTGAAATGGACTGGTGTTGACCCTTTTGAATTAGACAGTCATGTTTATTATGCAATGGATGAGAAATTCAAGAGGGATGGCATTGTATTCTCATCAAAAAGAATATTTCAAAATCTGTCTAGAACTACAATGCTCTCTGTGACAGGATAATGTTAGCCCACCAAAAAGGAAGACAGCTATTACTCAGATTTATACACTAGCCACTGAAGATAGTGATGAAGGAATTAAAGTAGTCAAGCATACAATTAAGCATGCAATTAAGATGTGTTGATAATTACTAATGATTGGGATGTGAAAGTTGGAAATTAAGAGAAAAGGTCTGTAGTTGGAAAATATAGCCTTAGTGATAGAAACAAAGTTAGCGATCTCATGATTGACCTTTGTAAGCCCAATGACTTCTTCATTGCAAATACCTTTTTCAGCAACATAAACAGCAGCAATACACATGGACTTCACCAGATAGAATACACAGGAAATCCCATTAACTATGTTTGTGGAAAGAGACAAAAGAGCTCAATATAATCATCCAAAATAAGTATATCCTACCTGAATTTAGAGACCATGGTAAATGGAGGAATGATTGAAGTTATCAAATGTGTTATGCTGGGTTGTCTAGAACAGGGATCAGCAAACTGGCTCTGTTAGTATGTACATGTGACTCTGAAGTAAAATTGAAAAAAAAATGTGAAAGGTAATATTCATATAATAATTATTTGATTTGTTTGTAAAAAATATATGCCTGGCTCTTGAATAATTTTTAAATTGTTGTGGGGTTCAGGATTGGCGCCTCCATCTCAAAATTGACCTCTGATCTAGAGAAACAAAAACAAGTGACATAAAAGTATAAGATAAAACTTTATATCAAGAGATAATTTTAGAGAACAGAAAAGTGGGTGAAGGAGACATTGGTCAGTGTAAGACATGAAAAAAAATTATAAATTATCAAGGGTTCATGAGGGGAGGGAGGTAGTGGGGGGGGGCGGAACCTGAGTAGCTGATACCAAGGGCTGAAGTAGAAAGAAAGTGTTTTGAAAATGATGATGGCAACAAATGTACACATGTGCTTGACACAATGTATGTATGTATGGATTGTGATAAGAGCTGTATGAGCCCCCAATAAAATGATTTTTTATAAAAAAAAAAAAAGATAATTTTATATCAAGAAGGCAGCCCAGTCCAACTCAAGTCCATGGGTCTGAAACCAGCTGGAACCCTCTTCAGACTCATGTAGCTCAGGCCAGTGGCAAATGGGAAGCAGGGAGATCATAGGCCGGTGGGTGCAGAGTCTTGTTAATCCAAGGTCAGTGGGAACATGACAGGGCAAAGCTTGAAGCTGGTCAGCAGCCCACCTGGCTACCCCAGGAAGTAGATAGTGTCTTAGCTAGGAGGAAGGCAAAGGACCCAAAAGGATTCGACTCTGCTCATTCTCTTTCATAAACAAAAGGCCACACCTTAAAGGAGGTATCCTCAGGCTTTGACCAGATTGATAGTTTGGTTTGACTCCTCCCCTTATCCAGGACTATCTTCTTGACACTCCTAACTATCACATCTAGGATTTCATTTTGCTTGGATACACAGTACTCTTGGAAGCTGCAAAGAAATCAAAATGATGTATTGCATTGGCAATCTACTGCAGAAGACTTCTTCAAAGTAATGAAGAGCAAAGATGTTACTTTGAAAGCAAAGACGCACTTGACCCATGCGATGATATTTTAAATTGCCTCATGTGCATGTGTAAGCTGGCTATTTAGGAGTAGGTATATTTTAGTTGATGAAGAATGTTGAATGTTCTATGGGCTGCAAGAAGGTATGAATAGAAGTGCAGCCAGTGTGCTCCTTAGAATGGAAGAAGACAAGTCTTCATCTTAAGGATCTTGGACATGTAATCAGAGTACAAAAACCAAATGAGACTTGCCGCCATTGATTCTGGTTCCCTACACAACAGAGAAGAGCTGCCCGGTAGATTTTCCAGACTATAAAATTTTACAGAGGTAGAAAACCATCTTTCTCCTGGAGAGCATCTTATGGGTTCAACTGCTGCCCTGTGGCCATCAGCCCAATGTATAACCCACTATATTACCGGGCACATTAAGAGGAGTGACCAGTCCCTGACAAAGGACATACTTGGTAGAGTATAGGAAAAAAGGGGAAGACCAGCTGACGGCTACATCAATGGGCCCAAACATAAGAGTTATGAGAATAGCACAGGATTGGTGTTTTGTTCCATTGTACATAGGTTTCTTATGAGTCAAAACCATATTGGCACAACATCATCATCTTGCTCTTTAGATAATGTAATGCTCTTTAGATAGTGGCATTGCTTTTTGGCTTAATTGTACTTTTTATGTTTTACTTTCTCTAAAAACCAAACTCACTGCCATCAAGTCATTTCTGACACATAACAACCCAATAGGACAGGGTATCTCTTCACCTGTGGGTTTCTCAGACTAACTGTTCACTGGAGTAGAAAGTTCTCCTCCCACAGAGACTGGTGGTTTTGAACTTCTAACATTGCTGTTAGTAGCCTAAATAGTAAACACCATGCCACCAAGGCTTTTAATAGTTCATTTTTCTGAAAAGTGTATATCTGATAAACTCAGCCACTGTTAACACAGCAGTGAATTCTGAAATAATAATGGAAGTAGCTTTAAATAGTGGCAAGGAGACTTCCCCTTCCTTCCCACATCCATTGAAATAAATTCTTACTCCTAGCAACTGTACTTGGGTTTCTGAGGCTATAATTTTTTAAAATCATTTTATTGGAAACTCATAACATTCCATCCATTGATTGTATCAAGCATATTTGTACATATGTTGCCATCATCATTTCCAAAACATTTTCTGCTTGAGCCCTTGGTATAAGCTCCTCTTTTTTTCCCCTCCCTCTCCCACCCTCCCACCTTTATGAATCCTTGATCAATTATATATTATTATTATTTCATATCTTACACTGTTTTCTTCCTTCACCCATGTCTGTTTGGTTTTTTTCTCCTTCGGGGTGGGGGGGGCAGCTATATATCCAACTTCCCTTCTCCCTCCACGGCCGTCCCCCTAACCTCATGATATCTCTACTCCCACTACTGTACCTGAGAGGTTTATCCTGAATTCTACATGTTGAGAGCTTTTATCTGTTCTCCTGTCCAGCCAGGTTTGTAAGGTAGAACTGGGTCAGTGTAGTTGTGGGGAGGAAACATTCAGGAACTAGAGGAATGATGTGTGTTTTGTTGGTGCTATACTGCACCTTGGTTGAATGATCCCTTTAGATTCCTAAGGGGGGTGGGGTGGCGGGGGGATATCCAGTTGTCTACAGATGGGCTTTCAGTCTCTACAACCCTCCTCGTTCGCATCAATATAGTTGTTTGTTTTGGATCTTTTGATACCTCCAAGGGTATAAATTTTTATGGGAGCCGATAGCCATGTTTTTCCCCTGTGGAGCAGGTGGTGGTTTTGAACTGCCAACCTTGTGGTTATCAGCCCAAGTAATAGCAGTTATAAAGAATAAGGATATGAAGGAGCCCGTGAAAGGTTAAACTTTGAACTGCTAACTGTAACGTTGGCTGTTAAAACATACCAACTATACCAAGGGAGAAAGGTGAGGTTGCCTGCTCCTGTAAAGATTTACAGTCTTGAAAACCCTAAGGAGCAGTTCTTTGCCTTCTAGTATCACTAAGAGTCAAAATCAAACTCAAAACTCATTGCTGTTAAGTTTGATTCCAACACATAGTGAATCTGTAGGACAGAGTAGAACCTGCCTCCTGTGGTTTCCAAATCTTTGCTTTCTTTACTGGAGTAGAAAGCCTGGCATTCTCCCTGAGAGCACTGGTGCGTTGGAACTGCTGAGCTTACTGTTAGTAGTCCAACATGTAGTCCACCACATCACCAGTGAGCACAAAGTCAAAGTATAAATAAGACACTACACATGGTATCACAATGAGTCAGTACTACTGGCAAATAACAACATAGCTGATAGGCTGTGTACATGTTTGATTTTCATAATGTGGTAGCAAGGGTATTTTAATGTTACTTGATTGCCAGGAGATTAGACTTCTATTGAAAAATTGAACTCCGGAAGTTTATGTGAAGTAGAAAGGATTTGGTGTGTAAATTGGGTACTTCACTCATTTATATACTGCCTGACCCTTGCAGGCATTTGTGTTTTCAATATCCAGAATAAGTAAACATGGATACTTAGTGACGAGTTGGTGAAAATGAATGTTGCTCAGAAAAATAAGTAATGATTTGTACTTACGTAAATGGCCATTAGTCTTAGCAGCAATATCTAGTCAATAGTAGATGAATTTAACTTACCTTTTATATAATTTCTCGTTTTATTTTATTACCTCTGTTGTCATGGAGAAATTGTATATAAACGATATATTGCTGTTTAAAATAATTTTAGAAGGCTTTGTTTTAGTTATTATTTCCTGTACCTGAATGGCTGTGATCTTCAGTAATATTAACTTTAGTCCATAGGTTTATAATTTCAGATATTTAGCAATAGTTTTCAGATATTTTAATGGGGAATATCTTCCAACAATGCTAAGGACAAATTTCCCTCAGGTAGATGTTATGGATAATGTAGCTATTTCAATTTAAGTAATCTGATTAAATTAATTAAATTGAAAATATAAAGTTTAGATGCTCAGTAACCATAGCCACATTACAATTACATAGTAGCCACATGTGCCAAATTACTAGCATGTTATTTCATAAAGTAGTACTTCAGAGCATAAACATGTCAATAACTATTCACATCTGGTTCTTATTATTGATACAAAACCCTTAGCTTCTTTTTGGCTCAGTTTTCTGTAAAATGAGGATTATATTAATACTAGGGAGTTGTTATGTGGATAACACTGATTAGAATATATAAAGTATCTAAAAATGTCTTATACATGCTAGTACAAGCGTTATGTTGCTGGAGCTCTTATTGAACAGTATATAATAGTATATATATATCATCAAATTACAAGATAGTAAATCTAACTTTGTAATCCTACATTGTGCCTAGTATCTGAAGCAATCTAAAGATTTTATAACTTCCTCTAAAATACTTTAATTTTCCTTTTCTCCAGCGAGTTGAAGAATTTCTCAGCAAAGACATCAGTTACCTTGTTTCAAATAAAAAGGAAGCTAAAGTTGCACAGACCTTGGGTCGAATTTCTCCTGTACCAAGTCCAGAATCTGCATATACTGCAGAAACCACTTCACCTCATCCCAGTCATGATGGGAGTTCATTCAAATGTCCAGACTCCGTAAGTATCTTTAAAAGCACTTAACTTGAGCAGGCTGACAGTAGTGGATTTCACTTAGGGAGAAAATATTACCTGTATTCTAGATGACGTTTGTCAATCATGAATACTGTACCTATCTTACAGAACGATAAATATGCGCTAATATGATTTATTTATATAGTCATACCCTGTATGCACTAAGGATATCTCTTAATTTTTAGAGTAATTTGCAACTAAAATACAAAAAGTAACAGCAGACATTTTAAAGAGATAAAACAAACTTTATTGTTGCAGAGAGAGAAGTGAGTAACCTATTACTTACGTGCCAAATCTAGCCCTCTTGTTCAGCCTGCAAGCTTAGCATGGTTTTTATGTTTTTAAATAAATGGTTGGAGGAGGAAAATTAGAAGGCAAATATTTCATGACGTGTAAATTATATCTATACATATATATATAATCATTTCATTGAGGGCTCTTTTTTTAATCGTTTTATTGGGGACTCATACAACTCTTATCACAATCCATACACACATCAATTGTATAAAGCACATTTGTGCATTCATTGCCCTCATCATTCTCAAAACATTTGCTCTCCACTTAAGCCCCTGGCATCAGCTCCTCAACTTTCCCCTCCCTCCCCTGTCCCCCTCCCTCATGAACCCTTGATAATTTATAAATTATTATTTTGTCAAAGCTTTCCCTGTCTGACGTCTCCCTTCACCCACTTTTCTGTTGTCCGTCCCCCAGGGAGGAGGTTATATGTAGATCCTTGTAATCGGTTCCCCCTTT